AAAAAAAAAAAAAAAAAAAAAAAAAAGAGAGAGAGAGAGAGAGAGAGAGAGGGAACCACTGGGAGGGTAGAGATTCAGATCTGGTTATATTTTGACTTGCAAGTGATCAATTTTTACACAATTAGATGGAAAGGATCCAGTGGGGTTTTTGTTTTGTTTTATTCTTGGTAGTGTGCAGGCAGGGAAAGTCTCACAAAAAATTTGATTAAAAGTTGGGAGTGCTGAGTGATTTTAAGAGCCTGAAGAACACCATTTCTAAACAATTCTTACTAAACTTGTTAACCACATTAGCTTCGCATTTTAAATTTCACAACTCATGGAAAGGGAAAAAAAAGATCTTACTTAACTTTAAACACAGTTTTGTTTTGTTTTTTTGTACCAGGGATCAAACTCTGGACCTAGCACTTTTGAGGCAGGCAGTGGCACCACTGAGCTGAATCCCCAGCCCCTAAACACACAGGTTTTTAAAGAAGAGTTTCAGTGACCTGAGGCTCCCAGAACAAGAAAAGCCTTTCCCATTGTAGAATGCTCTAAATGTAAATTTAAATGTAACACTTATCTACACAGATCAAAGTCAACCTAAAGACTATATAATCAAAAAAGAAAAAAAAAAAGACCATATAATCAAATCTAAATGGAAGGCTGCACAAAAAAGAGTGAGGACTTACAGAATAAAACAAAAACAGGACAGCCATTACTTAATTTTTGAAATTCTTTAAATTTACAATGCTTTAAAGGAATATCACTTACACGGTAGTCAGTGGAGGTTAGGAGAACATAACACACACTCTTTCTTGGAAAACACAATAAAAATACAATTTTAAGTTTCACTCTCAAACAATTCTCTATAGTAAAATACCCCATTCACTGTTAACAATAGGTCTCTCACAAGAATGAAAATCCTGGGTATTCTATAAAGCTCTTTAAACTTTCATATTGACTTATTCAAGTTTTGAAAAAAACTTACATAATTATTCTTCTACTCCTGTCACTACTTCATAATTGCCAAGAAGTTTCAAGAAGTTAACAGATTGGTCCCAACTGGCTCCTGAGGGGTGGGTCCCTGGGGAGGGTCGGGCGAGCCCCAGTTTGGAAATGCCAGGTATAAAAGAAGTCCTCATCCTTTCGCGCCTCCAAGCTGGAAATCGAAATCCCACCCAGCAGAAGCACATGCGCAGCGGGTATCTTGCGGTCCCCTCAGGAGCCAGCTCATCACCGTGGTGTGTGGCTCCCCGATTAGCTAAGCATAAGGCCTTTCTGCTCCGGGTCTCTTTGGGTGCGTTTTTTAATCTCTCTCCCTCTGCATCTCCTCTTTCCCCTTTGCTGTGCCCCGCTGCGACCTCTGCTGTGGGTTCTGAGCTGATGCATTTCCAGCCCCTTGTCTGGCTAACCTGAATCTCTGGGTCTTGCCAAGTCCCTGTCTGTGTAACACGATCATCGTGTATTCTCTGTCACCCACTTGGTTAAGTGGCCTCGTTTCAACTCAGTTCCAAGTCACGGGAAAGCTGGAAAACTCAGCTTGCCCAATCCATCATCTTTGCTCCCTCTTATTATTTTTTCATAGAAAAGGAAAGCTGTGTGCAGTGTTTACAATAGTATAGCTCCCTGCGTTTCTCAGTGTAGTTACTCTTACCAGTGAGTTCTCTATGTTGCAGCGTTTCTTTCCTACTCATTAACTCATTCTTTCTGTATGGAAAACTCCCAGTGGCATTTCTGGTAGGACAGTTCTGGTAGAGATGTGTTCTCTCAGCTTTGGTTTGTCTGAGAATGTCTTTGTTTCTCACTACTTTCCAAAAGATACCTTTGCTGCTTTCCTTAAGTACAGTGAAAATTTCCATTTTCTTCTGGCCTGCAAGGAAATTGGAACACCTTTACCTACTACTGTCTGATTTTATTCTCTTGCAGCCTTAAGAATCTTCTGTTTATCTTTTATCTTATGGAAGTTGAGTGTAATGTATTTTGGGGCAGATTTGTCTTTCCTATACTTGTCTATTTGTATCCTTTTCTGCTTGCTGTGTCTTCAGTTATTTATTTGAATACATTTTCTATCCCATTGGTTTTCTCAAGTCCTACTTGAGCTCTAACAATCCAAATATTTGCTGTTTAGATGCTGTACTAAGTCTACCATAAGTGACTAAAATTCCTCTTCATTTTTTTTCTTATTTTCTTCAATGTCTGTGCATTTTTTTAATAGCTTCTCTTTGTGCTGATAGAGGATCTCCAAATGATATATGGGAAATAATATAATTTGACCTGCTATATGTCAAATACGCTGAGTTCATGTTCCCCAAAATTGAAGAATTCATTCTAAAGAACAACAGAGGTTAAAAATAGGAAATACTTTTTTAAAAATTTTTCTTTCCGGTATTGGGAATTGAACTCAGTACGTTGCACTTGCCAGGCAGGTGCAGCACCACTGAGCTAAATCCCCAGCCCCCCTGGAAATACTTATTGAGGCAGGTAGCTCCTTGAGAGACAGGAGGGACCCCAGTGGGTTGTTGTGAACCCCACTTTCCAGAGGAGTTTTATAGAGCAAAATCACAAGGTGAGTACAAAATCACAGAGTGAATACAACATGGGATAAAACGATGGTCAACCGGTAAGATTACAAGTATAGCTGCTTAGGTAAAGTTGATCCAATGGGAAAGCAGGTAACGTAGCAAGCGTACATGGAAAGAACAGGGACCTTTTTAGGAAGAGATGGATCGGGAGGTCCTGGTCACTACCTGGGTGACTGATATCTATCTAGATTTTATTAGGCCAGCTGATACCAATTACAGTATATTGTTTATCACCTAGGGAGGCACTTAGGCCTGGTCATTCTTTGTCTTGAGGCCTGACCTTCAACAGATGCGCCTCCAGCCACAGCTGTAATGTGTTCTCATCCTCTGCGCTGACTCCCCTGAGGGCCTAGCCCTGTCTGACTGCCTAGAATATTGCTACCTAACTCAGCTGTCTATAATAATGGCTTTAATGTGATTTTTAATTTTCCTTAGAGTGTTTCAGCTCAAGGATTAGTTTGATTTTTAAAATGGTTCCCATATCTATGTAAATATTGCTGTAAGATGAACCGCTTCCTGTGTTCTCTTGAAGCTCTCTGGGTTTCCTTAGAATAGCCATTTAAATTCTCTATCTGAGAGCTTACCCATAGTGGTTAGTATATGACCAGTTTCTGGTATTTTATTTTTTTCTGTTAGATGAAATCATGATTACAAGCAAGTCCCCCTCCCCAGTATCAGGGATCGAACTCAGGACCTTGTACCTTGTCCTTATAAGGCAGGCGTGGTGCCACTGAGTTAAATCCCTGGCCCCCAAGCAATTTCTTGATGCTTGTTGGTGTGTGGTGCATCTAGGTATTGCAGTGTGAGGTGTCATCTATGATCACAGCACAGACAATAGCTTCCAGGCTCCTGATCCTGACTGAAAGATTAGATGCTTATTTAAATCTCCTAATCTGGGGCTGGGGAGTTATTTAGCTCAGCAGTTCCGGTGGCCTGCCTTGCAAGCGCAAGGACCCGAGTTCAATCCCCGGTACAAAAAAAAAAAAAAAAAAAAAAAAAATCTCCTAATCAGGCTTGTGCCTATCTTTCCAGAAATTCTCAACAGGCTGCTTATTTTCTGAGCCTGGAGTCATGGCACATCTGCTCCTGTGGCACTAGATGGTGGCCTAAATTTAGGTTTGTCATGAATATACTGACAGTACTTCAACCCAGGTCTGTAGTTGGTATGTTGATCACCTCGGAACAAGGGGTAGTGGTGGTGGTGAGGTGTATAAAAAAAGGCAGTTTGTCCTCATAAGCCACATCATAGGACAAGGACAGACCCTGACACTTTATTTATAGGAACCACACAGCAGTCAGGGGCTGCAGGATTCTGCCCAGCTTTAGGCAGAATAGTGTGGGGGCATCAGGCCACCAAAAGCTATGCCTAAGGCCACCAATGTGGCAATGCTGTATCATACTATGAGTCCACTACCTGCTACAACCTGCACATGATTGGGGGCTTCCTACTGCAGGGGTGGACCCCTCGACTAAGACTGCAACAGCCAGCCATCGGTGATGCAGCTGGAAGAGAAGTCCCATCTCCAAACTCCAGAGAAAAACTAAACAAAGAGAAGATTACCTATAGAATGTAAGAAGATATTTGCTAGCTATTCACGTGACAGAGTGAATGTCTCAAATAAATAGAGAACTCAAAATTTAAGAATGAGAAGCCAACTGACACAATCAAATAATGGGCAGGTGACCCGCTGACATTTCTCAAAAGAAGTACAAAGGCCAATAAAATGCAATCAACATTGCAAGACACTGGCTTACCCTGATGGTAGTGGTGATCACCAAGACAAAACAAAACAACAAAAACAAATGTAACTGAGGATGTGGAGAAAAAGGAATCCTTATTCACTGTTGGTGGTACAGTCCCATGGAGAACAGGATGGGTGCTATTTACAAAGCTAAAAGCAGAGCTATCACCTGATCCGTTGATCCCACTGTGGGATATATCCAAGGAAAATGAAATCAGCCATGTTTACTGCAGCACTGTTCATGATGGCTAAGATTTGGGATCAATCAAGGTGCCATCTACAACTTAGTATTCAGGAAATACTGCTATTTGCAGCAAAATGGTTAGGACTGGAGGGCATCAAGTTAAGCAAAATAAGATAGATATAGAAATACAGACATCACATGCTCTCTCTCATCTGTGGGGACTTAAAAAGAAAGTGGACCTAAAAGCAGAATAGTAATGGCTGGGGACTGGGAAGGATCCCAATGGGGGTAGAAGGGAGGCTGGGTGAGGGCAGAATATGTGATCAACACGATCAATGCAATGAGCATTATGCACGTGTGAATTACACAGCACAGGGAATTACACTGATTTGCACAACTGCTATGTTCATGGCTATCTTAGAGGCAGCTACAGTGAACATTAGAGTTGTTTGGTAGAGATTTCCAGGGAAGAAATGAATATATATTGTTAAGCTTTACTTATTTACACACCTTTTTAAAAATAATCAATTGAGCTGGGTGTCATAGCATGCACCTGTAATCTCAGCACTTGGGAGGCTGAGGCAGGTGGATCACCTCAAGATTGAGGCCAGCCTGGACTCCACAGTGAGTTCAAGGCCAGGCTGGACTACATAGTGATACTCTGTTTTAAAAAAAGGACAAAATAAATAAATAAAAATAACCAAGTGTTGACTTGAGGTGTGATATCAACAGATTTCTAGTTTTCCAGAGTAGTGGTTTTACCTGCAGATTCCTTGATCAATATGATACAACACAAGTTCTCAGACAGTATATGAGAAATTTGAAGTAAAAGTCATTTGCTTATATCTAAATTTTATATAGATTTTGGTTACTTTACCCATAGGAACACATATTAAATTTTCTTAATATATTAATATGCTGCAAAAAGAATGATATAATGTTAAATTTTCCTTTTTTGGAAAATTAATTTATTATTTTAGAATGATACATTGGGGTTTCTCATGGCATTTTCTTGTTTTAAAATTTAGAAACATATCCTTGTTGAGTAGGATTAAAGATAGGTTAAGTATACATCTGTGTACTGTATTTGTATACAGACTTCTTTTTACACAGATTTATTTACAGTTGTATTTGGTCTGAGATATGATAATAGCATAATGACGAATTCTACTTTCTTCAGCCTAGTATGGTCCATTCAAATGGCTTCATTTCCTGTTTGAATTAAAACCTTTTTATCTTTCTTTAAGGAAAGAGAAAATATCCGTTGCTTAGCTCCTCTTGGCCACTTTGGGTTTGAATGTTTGCCCTATCAGCTGGTGAGCAAATCCATGCGGCAAGGATTCTCTTTTAATATTCTCTGTGTGGGTGAGTCCCAAACACCGCATTTTTCTTGTGCTCGTTGTGTAAAGGAAGTGGTTCCCTCGCACAGTCTGATATCAATGAATTCAAGGTGATTTTTTAATGCTTGTATTGGTTTCCATCTTCTCAGCCATATTATTTAAGCTTTAAATTTAAATCCATGTTCTTCAAAATCTGACATAGTTTAGCATATCTTTTCTTTCTATGCTATGTTAACGACTAAGAGAGTTACGACTTAGCCATAAAGAATGAGAAATTAGAGTCATCCATAGGAAAATGGATGTTGCCGGGCATGGTGGCACATGACTGTAATCCCAGCACTCAGGAGGCTGAGGCAGGAGGATCGCTGTGAGTTCGAGACCAGCCTGGGCTACATAGTGAGTTCCAGGTCAGTCTTAACTACATAGTGAGACCCTGTCTCAACCCCCCCCTCCAAAAAAAAAGGAAAATGGATGCATATTGAGGCCATACTCTTAAGAGAAATAAATAAGATACACATGTGTAAATACTGAATAGTTTCTCTGGTGTGAAAAACTAAAAGTGTAAATAAGATCCAAGTTGTATAACTGATAATGTGAAATAGGAAGAAAAGGGCTAAAGGTGTAGGGGAAGTGGGAAGGGTAGTGGAAAGGAAAGAGGGAAAAGAAAAAATAGGAGAAAACAAAAACATGGAAATAAAGTTTTTGTAAATAGAGAAGGGTGGAGTGGGGGGGAGGGCAGGGGAATGGGGAAAAATGAGAACCAAGACCTGTCATGTAAAGGTACAAGATCCCAATGATGAATGTAACTGTACTGTATATAAAATGTACCAATAAACTCAATGAGAGAAAAAGAGAGAGAGAGAGTCATGACTGGCATATCTATTTGCAGGCTTATCTCAATCTCTGAAGTGTTTGTGATTATTTATTTGAGCTTAATATTTTCAATTAACAAATTATAATTATGCACACTTTTGGAGTAGAGTGTGGCATGCTGGCATTTGTATACAACAGACAAAGGGTTAATCAAGCTATCAACGTAGTCATCACTTCATTTGCCTATATTTTAATGGCAATACATTTGAAATTTGCTCTTAGTTTTTTGAAATATGTAACACATTGTTAACTACAGTCAACCTCCTGTACAACAGATCTAAAAATGTATTCTTCCCATTTGAAACTTAACTCTCTATTCTCCCCACCTGCTTCTAACCATCTTTCTATTCTTTACTTTCATGAATTTGACTTTTAAAAATGTGGGGGGCCCTTGAAGCCCCTGCATCAGCTCAGTGTTGTTATCCACCCATGATGATGTATCTGTGTTTCTTACAGGGGAAACTGGAATTGGAAAATCAACACTGATCAACACATTGTTTAATACTAATTTGAAAGACAACAAATCCTCACATTTTTATCCAAATGTCAGACTTACAGTTCAGACATACAATCTTCAGGAAAGCAATGTTAAATTGAAGTTGACAGTTGTGAATACAGTAGGGTATGGTGATCAGATAAACAAAGAAGGCAGGTTAGTACTTTCTTATATTAATCAATTAAAGTTTTTCAAGAAATTTGCCTTCTTTTTTCCTAAATTTTAATATTCCTCTAAGGTAATTACCTTTCCTTCCAGATTTTAGTTCTTTCCTAGTTAAATAAATGTTCTTACAAAATTGACGTCATATATCCAGTTTTCTGGTTTCTCTTACAAGGTTTTGGGTTACCCAGTTGTAGCAAGTTGTTTCTGTATTTTGTGCTAGTTCTAGCTTTTCTTACTTGTCTAGTATTATAGTTTTGTATTATTGTTTTGTTTTTTAAGGCAGGGTCTCACTATGTAGTTGAGAGTGACATAGAACTCACTATGTAGCCCAGGCTGGTCTCGAACTCACAGTGACCCTCCTGCCTCAGCCTCCCAAGTGCTGGGATTACAGGTGTGCGCAACCACACCTGGCTTGTATTATAGTTTTGTATTTAAACTGTGATAGAGGGAAGCAGTATCATAGCAACAGTTTTAGATTCTTATCCCTTCAAAAAATCCTCATATACTAATGATTATATGTGACTCTCCTACTTTAAGTTAGCTTTAGACTAAAAAATATTTTTTGCGTGTTTTCTGTGGCTTAGATGCAGTGTTGGGCTTAGTCTGACACACACTGGCTTGTGAGAGCACCCTGGGTTCATGTCCCCCCAGCTCTTCCTTCAGTGACATCATGTGACTGGCTTCACACCACAGAAACCAGCAAACCCTACGAATCAGTATTTTTTCTTTCCAATGAACCATTTTTGTAAGCATTCACCTGCACACCACTGGTGAAAGATTAGTTTTGGAACAAGCGCAGTACTCAGATTATAACAAACATGAAAATGAGCTGGGGTGAAACTTATAACAGGATCAGACAGATATTAGAAAAGAGGCGAAGGTAAAGGCAGATGAAGTGTTGCACTAAAGAGCTGTTAATACTTAGAAAATGGATACCACCTTAGTAGTCAATTTGTCAGAAAGTATTTTTATTATTTATTTATTTATTTCGCGGTACCAGGGAATCAAACTCAGGCAGCGGCACCACTGAGCTGGCCCTGAAAATATTCTTGAAGTATGGACTTACACCCAGTGTTAGCATATCCCGTGTACTGTACTCACTTAACTGTATTGTGGGTAAGAGCCACAACAGGCAGTGCATCTTAGGTTCACTTTCTGAGTCTCTTGCAACAAATCACCACAAACTGATGGCTTCAAGCAACAGAAACTCAAAACAACACAAAACAAACAACAGCAACAAAAACCCTATAAACATTTTCTTTCACAACTGTGGGGTGCAGAAGTCCAAAATTAAGGTATGTTTAGGATCGCACTCCATTTGGAGTTTCTAGGAAGAAAAATCTTTGTTTCTTTCAGCTCCCAGCGTGTACTTTCACTCCGGCTCTGTCCCTCCACCTCTCACATGGCCTCTCCCCTGCTCCTTGTGAGCCCCACCCCTTTTTTTGTACCAGGGATCGAACTCAGGTCATTGTACTTACAAGACAGGTGCAGTGCCACTGAGCTAAATCCCCGGCCTGGGTCTGAGCTCTTTTGAGGACAACCACGACTGGATTTAGAGCGTATGCAGATAATCCAGGATGATCTTTCATCAAAGTTCTTAGCTTAATTTCATCTACAGCTTCTCCCCAACCTGCAAGGATATATTACATTTATAGTTTCCAGGGACATGGGCATGGAAATACCTTCTTAGAGATCCCCACACCCACTCTTATTCTCCCTTTATGCTAATGTTGTTCCTTAGATATTTAAAAAAATGATTTTCCCATTTGTTTACTTATTAGACTTTTAATAAGGGCCGGGCATGGTGGTGCACGCCTGTAATCCCAGCACTCGGGAGGCTGAGGCAGGAGGATTGCTGTGAGCGAGACCAGCTCATGGTGGTGCACGCCTGTAATCCCAGCACTCGGGAGGCTGAGGCAGGAGGATTGCTGTGAGTTCGAGACCAGCCTGGGCTACATAGTGAGTTCCAGGTCAGTCTCAACTACATAGTGAGACCCTGTCTCAAAAGACCACACACACACAAAAACAAACAAACAAAATCAATTATCCAAGCAATAATTTCTGTAAAACATTAAAATAATCCAAGTCTAGGAAAATCCACTTTAGCAACAGTTAGGCGTTTTTCACAATTCCTCCACTCTTTCTTTTATTATGTATCCCCAAACCAAACATCATTCTCATTACTTTCTAGTTCTATCTGGTAAGTAACTGACCTCCCTTCATTATACTTTCAGCTTTAAGGTTTTATGAATGTTTTGACTGTTCACAATTCTTCATGGTAAACTACTGGCTAGAATTGTTGTTTTCTTTTTTGGTGTTCGGGATTGAACCCAGAGTCTTGCCTATGCCATGTCTTCTATACTGAGCTTGTTTATTTCCTAATATAAAGGAATGTCTGTTTCAGATTTCATTCCTAATTATACTGAATATCAGCCTCCTTGTGTCCTCTAAATATTTTCATACATACTAAGTGTTTATTAGATGATTGAAAAATCAGATTCAGATTTTATCAATTTGTTATGCTAAATGTTTTTTTGTTTTATTTTTAGCTACCAGCCAATAATTGACTACATAGATGCTCAGTTTGAGGCCTATCTTCAAGAAGAACTAAAACTTAAACGTTCCTTCAGGTATCATGATACTCGTATCCACGTATGCCTCTTCTTCATTTCACCTACAGGACATTCTCTGAATTCCCTTGATCTGTTAACAATGAAGAACATTGACAGAAAGGTGTGTTTGGTAAATCCATTGACCTCTCAATATTTACTTATGTTTTTTGAGACAGGATCTCACTATGTAGTTGAGACTGACCTGGAATTCACTGTGTAGCTCAGGCTGGTCTCGAACTCACAGCGATCCTCCGGGGATCGAACTTGGGTCCTTGCACTTGCAAAGCAGGCGGTAGCAGCACCTTTATTTTATAATATGTTTATATATTATAATAATTCTTACTGTTAGCCTTTAGAGCATTTGAATTCATTTTGCAGCACTTCAATAACAAAATGTCACAGGTTGGATGGTTTAAATTGTGAAAAATCATTTCTCACAGTCCTGGAGACTCGTAGTCCAAGATTGGGGTGTTGGCAAGGTCTTTCTTCTGAGCCCTCTTTTCTTGGTTGGCGGGTGGTGTCCCCTGCTTCACCATCACATGGCCTTTCTTCTGGTGCTTGCTTGTACGTCCAAGTTTTTCTCAGAAGGACACAAATCAAACTGGATTAGACCCTTGCCATTATACTTTAATCACTTCTTTAAAGTCTCTACCATTATGGCCACAGTGTGAGATACTGAAGGCCAGGACTTCAACATGTGGATTTAGTTAGCGGTACGGACAATTCAGCATTTAACACATTTCAATGTTACTTTTTTGCATAAATTTATTTAAGATTGTACCTTAGTAAAAGGATATGTGTGTAAAAAAAAAAAAACACCAAAATTTTAGTTCGTTTTTTCTGTGGTTAAATGCTAATTTAGATCATGAGCATTTGCCTGTATTTTTGAAATCAAACTCACTGTATAGTAGTATAAAATAATCCTGTTTATTTTACCTCTGGTGCCCCTCATGCTGTGACATGAAGCTTTTTTTGATTCTGTCTGTAAGCCCTGTCAGAAGGATTCAGAATGGGTAAAAGGCAAGCAGCTACTACTGCCTGCTATGTAGAAAGAGAAAGAGAGAAAAAGTACAATTCTTTCTAGCAAAAGCGTGGGACCCGTGTGGCTACTTTTTCCCATGTCTTTGTAGACTAGGAAAATGTTTCTAAATAAAAAATTCAAACTTAAATACGTAAATATTTAACTTTAAATGTGGAAATAATTCCTATATTTCATTATAAATGAGTAATTTGCTATCAGAGTGGTTTTCATTCCTATGTCCACATACTCTCAGCCTTTTGAATTTGGTAATAAAAATGTTTGCATTGCATTTAGGTGGTCATTGAAAGACACAAGCAAATCTGCCTGTAAGTGCGTGTAGGTAGAACAAGGGTATGTGAAAATGGAGCATTGATTAGTATGTATTTATGGCGAAGGTGGTGAACGGGAATGATGGTTAAAAGGAAGATTTCACCTCTTCTCCTACAATTTTGATGGTCTCTCATTCTCATTTTATAACTGTTTAACAGGAAATAAAATGGATAATGGAGTAAACAGCCTACTTCATTGTATTATATATTTTGCTAACTTCAGGTGGGTTGGAAATATGAGAGATTTTTTATAAGAGACAAGATGGAGAGCTCTAAACCTGCATTCTGATAAAGAAGGTCTTGATGGTTTGGGAAAACAATTTTTAAAGGGAGGACTGATAGCCAGTTGCATAAATGCATTTCCAGAGGCTATAAATTTTAGACTGAATATTATAGGATAAACAACAAATCTTCATAGGAGAAATTTTGTTTTCTTTAATAGGTGAACATTATACCATTGATTGCCAAAGCAGATACAGTTTCTAAAAATGATTTACAGAAGTTCAAGAGTAAGATAATGAGTGAATTGATTAGCAATGACATCCAGATATATCAGTTCCCAACAGACGATGAAACTATCGCTCAAACAAACTCTTCAATGAATGTAAGCTTCTAACTGTTGAATATTAAATCTGTTTCAGAGATTTAAGGAAGCACAATTTATAAGTTACATTGTTAGTAATATATTGTCACTTGTATCTGAAAAAGAGTCAATAAACAATGCATTTCCCCAAAAAAATCCAGTGAGGGGAAATGTGTTTTGTTTTGTTTTTTTTTTTGAAAAATGTTTGCCAAGAAAACTCTTTAACAGCTTTGTTTAGACTCAGTTCATATTTCTTACTATTCACCCATTTAAAGTACTCAATTCAATGATTTTTAGTGCATTCACAGATATATGCAGCCACCGTGGCAGTTTTAGAGTATATTCATTGCTTCATAAAGAAATCCCTTAACCTTTAGCTCTTCTCTTGCCCATCTCTCAGATTCTGTCCTCTCTCCAGTTCTGAGCAACTGTTAACTTACATTATGTCTCTCTATGTAGATTCCTCTCTTCTGGACATTTTAAATGAGTTGAATAATATACATAATCTTTTGTGTCTGTCTTCTTTCAGTTGGGATACTGTTTTCAGTGTTTACCAATGTTTCAGCCTGTATCAGTGCTTCATTCTTTTTTGTGGCCAAGTATCACCATGTGAATTTACCATATTTTATTGATCCATTAATCAGCCGAACTCCTAGGGTTTATTACACATTTTGGATGTTATGAAGAATGTCGCTATATACATTTGAGTACAGGTGTTTATGTGAATGTATGTTTTCATTGCTCTTGGGTATATGCCTAGTAACAGAATTTTTTTGGCTTATATGGTAAATATATTCATTCATTTAAAAAACTGCTAGGTTGATTTCCGTATGTCTGCACCATTTTATAATCCCAACAGAGAAGTTCTGACTTCATTTTTTGCCTGATTGCCTGAACTTTTTATGTGGCTGCTGGTAGCTGTGAAGTGGATCCCATTTCCCTGATGCCTAGAATTTTTTGCGTTTGTTTTGAGACTGTGTCTCGCAACATAGTTCAGGCTGGCCTTGAGCTCACTATGTAGCCCAGGCTGACCTTGAACTCACAGTGATCCTCCTGCCTCAGCCTCTTGAGTCATGGGATTACAGGTGTGTGCCACCACGCCTAGTTAGAACATCTCTTTGCGTTTATGCATGTATGTATGTCTTCTTGGAAGAAAGGTCTATTCAGGACCATTCTTTTTTTTAGGTTGATTTTTGTCTTTTAATTATAAGTTGTAAGAGTTCTTTATGCATTTTTTCATTTCATCCTGCTTCCATTGTGCTGTGAACATAATAAATTACTCCTTCCATGTCTCTGTGGGTTTTTTGTTTTTGTTTTTTTTTTTTGGTATCAGAGATCAAATTTGAGATCTTGCGCTTGCGGCACCACTGAGCTAAACCCCCAGCCGCATGTCTTGGTGCCTGTTACCCAGCCCATAATACCCAAGTGCTGTGATATGTTCGCTATTATGACTAGTGACACGATAAATATGGGCATGCAGATATTTCCTTGGTATGCAGATTTCATATCCTTTGTAATAGTATATACTCAGAAATGGGATAGCTGAATTATGAATATACCGCAATGTGTCTCATCAATTGATGGATACTTAGGCTGCTTCTGTTTCTCAGTTATTGAGGATAGTGCTGCAGTGGATATGGGAATGCAGATGTCTCTTCCGCATACTAATTTCATTTCCTTAGGATGTATACGCAGAAGTGGGATTTCTGGATCACATGGTAGTTCTATTTTTACTTTTTTCGGGATATGCCAAAGTGTTTTCCATTGTGGCTGTACTAATCTATTTTCCCATCGACAGTGTGTGGGGTTCTCTTTTCTCCACATCTTCCTCACCATCATTTTTTTTTTTTCTGCTACCAGGGATTGAACTCAGGACCTTGTGCTTGTGATTCAGGTGTGGAACACCTGAGCTAAATCCCTGGCCCCCTCACCATCAGTCTTTATCTTCAGCATTTTTTATAATATTCATTCTTACTAGTATAAGGTGATATCTTTTTGTGCTCTTGATTTACATTTCCCTGATTATTAGTGATACTGAACATTATTATGCACTGGTATATCATCTTTTGAAAAAAATGTCTATTTAGATCTATTGCTGATTTTAATTGGATTATTGATATTATTACTTGCTATTAAATTTTTTTGAGGCAAGATCTCACTATGAAGTTCAGGCTGGCCTTGAACTCACTATATAGCCCAGACAATCCTCCTGCCTCAGCCTCCCGAGTGCTGGGATAACAGGCATGCACCACACACCTGGCACTCCTATTAAATTTTTGAAGCTTCTTGTATATTCCAGATATAAACCCTTCATCACTGTGAATATCTTCTCTCATTATGTAGACTTTTCTGCACACTGCTGATGATTTCTATACTGTGCTAATGACCTTAGTTTTATGCAATCTCAGTTGTCATTTTGCTTTGTTTTATGCTTTGGCCCCCAAAATTCCTACCTGTTCCAATGTCCTGAAACATTTCACTTAGGGTTTCTTCTAGTTGTTTCATGGTTTGGGGTATTATATTAGCTTTTGCTCTGTGTTGATTTAATCTTTATAACTAATGAGATGTGGGGATCTAGCAGTATTCTTCTGCGTGTGGATTTCCAATTTTCCCAGTACCACTCATTGAAAAGATTGTCTTTTCTTCAGTATGTGTTCTGAGCCCATGTAGGTGCATGATTTTATTTCTTCATTATTTTGTTCCATCGTCCTCTGTCTGTTTTATGCCATGGCCACACTGTTTTGATTACTACAGCTTTGTAGTATGTTTTTAAGAATTGGTGCCTGTTAATATCATATGATAATGGTTTTTATTTTAGAAAATTGATATATGCACTTAATGTATCTTAACCAATGTCAATCCCATTTCTTCAATTTTTCCTCCCCCCTCACTCTTGTCCCTTTTTGCATCTCCAGAAGTTTACTTTCTGGTTTACCCCCTTGTCTTAATTCTTTACTTATTAATTTATGTATTTTTCCCATTTTTCATAGAGAAATCATGCTATATTTAACTTTATAGTTAATTTTACTGAAGATGATGGTTTCTAGTTCCATTCACTTTCCACCAAATGACCTGATTTTATTCTCCTTCATGGCTAAATGGTATTCCATTGTGTCTATATACCATATTTTCTTTATACATTTATCTGTTGATAGATATTTAGGCTGTTTCCACAGTTTAGCTACAGTGAATTGCATTGCTGTAAATATGGATATGCATGTATCACTTTAGTATAGTCTTTAATTCTTTCAGGAATTTACTAAGAGTGGTATAGCTGGGCCAAAAGTATTTCTAAGTGTAGTCTTTTGATGAATCTCCAAACTGATTTCCAGAGTGGTTATACTCATTCACAATGCCACCAACGTATGCGTTTTGAAGTCAGGAAGCATAATGCCTCCTGCATTGTTCTTTAGGCTCACAATGGCTTTGGATATTCAGGTTCTTTTGTGGTTTCATATAATTATTTTTTTGGTTCTGTGAATACTATTGGTATTTTAATAGGGATTGCAATTAATCTGCAAATTACATTGGGTGGTACAGAATTTTAATTATTGATTCTTCCAATCCAGAAACAGAACATTTTTCCAATTTCTTATGTCCTTTTTAATTAATTTTGTTAGTGTTTTATAATTTTCATTGTAGAAATATTTCTTGTCTTTGGTTAAATTGATTTCTTATTTTGTGTAGCTATTGTAAATGGGATTGTTTTTTGTGATTTCTAATTCAGAGAATTCACTGTTGGGATATAATAACTATTGATTTTTGTATGAGTTTATATCTTACAAATTTGAATTTTGAATTTCTTAGTTTCACTAGCTTTTTGCGGAGCCTGTGGGGTTTTCAATAGAGAAAGTTATGTCATTTGCAAATAGTTACTATTTGATTTTTTTCATTTCCAGTTTGAATGTACTTTATTCTTTTCTGCTGCATAATTGCCCTGGCAAGGACTTTCAGAACTATGTCGAATAAAAGTGGTGAAAATTATCAACATTGTCTTATTCTAGAACTTAGAAACTTTCAGTTTTTCCCATTTAATATAATGTTAGGTGTTGGCTTATGATAAATGGCCTTTATGATGCTGAGGTATGTTCCTCATATGCCTAATTTTTGTTGAATTTTTTGTCTTTTCTGTATCAATTTTTTGTCTTTTCTGAATGTCTTTTCTGTATCAATTGAGATGACTGAATTTGTTTCTTTATTCTGTTGATACAGTGTATCATGTTTATCTATTTGTGTATGTTGAACCGTCCTTGTATCCCTGGGATGAATCCAACCTGGTCATGGTGAATAATACTGCTAATGTGCTTTTGAATTCAGTTTAGTAGTTTTTTTTTGTTGTTGTTGTTCTTGTATTTTTTGGAGACAGAGTCTCGCTATATAGTTGAGGCTGACCTGGAACTCACTATGTAGCCCAGGCTGGTCTCGAACTCACAGCAATCCTCCTGCCTCAGCCTCCCAAGTGCTGGGATTACAGGCGTGCACCACCACACCTGGCCAGTTTAGTAGTATTTTATTGAGGATTTCTGGGTCTGTATTCATCAAGGAAGTCTTAGTTACTTTCTGCATTGTAGAGAGAAAATATTCCACACCTACAAGTTAAAGGAGGAAGAGTTTATTTTTGGTTCACAGTTTGTAAAAGTTTCAGTCCCTAGTCTGCTAGTTCCAAGGCAGGGCAGCATGGTAGGAGGGCATCACAGAGCAAAACAGGACATGGCAGAGGAGGCAGGAAGCAGCAAGTGGCAAGCAGTGCAGCAAGCTTGCCTTTCTCTTTTATTCCATTCAAACTATAAGCATTTTGGGTGGTGCCATCTGCCTGTCTTCAGGAAATCCATTCAGCCACACCCACTACTATGCTAATTCCAATCAGTGGACTAGTTTATACACACACCTTCAATCCTAGTATCAAATACCTTAGATCCATCCAGCCACCTCTGAAAAGCCTCACCCATGAGCAAATGAGGCTTTGGGGGGACATCTAGATACAAACTATAATAAAGAGTATTGGCCTGTAGCTTTTGTTTTTATTGTGCCCCTTATCTGGCTTTGGTATCAATGTAATGTTGGCCTTATAGAATGCATTTGGAAAAATTCCTTCCTCTTCTATTTTTTGAATAATATATGAAAAAGTGAAACTAGTGCTCCTATAGATGTTTGGAATTTGGTAGTGAAATCATATTATCTTGGTTTTATTTTTGATGAGATGCTTTTATATCTGATTCAATAGTGTTACTTTTATTGGTCTCTTAATGTTTTTTACTTTTTCATGATTCAATATTAGTGAGGTATATTGTTTACAAACATATCCATTAGCTCTTCACAATAACCTCAGTGATCTTTTGTGTTTTTGTGATATCAGTTATAATCTCTTCCTTTTTACATCTGGTTTTATTTGATTCTCTCCTTTTTCTTAGTCTATCTAGGTGGTTGTTTAGTTTGATTTTCTTTTCAAAGAACTTGGTCTTTCTTTCACTGACTTTTGATTTTTAGTCTCCATTTACTTATATTCTTATTTTCATTAATTCTGTCATTCTGTTAATTTTGGTTTTAGTTTGTTCTTTATCTCGTTCCTTGAGGTATAGTGATAGGTTGTTTATCTGAGATATTTTTACTGTTTAATGTGGCTATTGACTACTTTCTTTTTCTCCTCTTAGTGCTTTTGTAATATCACATAGGATTGGGGACATTTGGTCTATTTGTTTCAAGAAATTTAAAAATTCCCTTCTAGATTTCTTGTTTGGTCTGTTCGTTGTTCAAAAGTAAATTGTTTAGAGCCAGGAATTTAGCTCAGTCGTTCCGGCACCTGCCTCAAAAGCACAAGGACCCAAGTTTGATCCCTGCTACCAAAAAAAAAAAAGTTAATCCTTTAGTTTCCAAAGTTTTTCTTGTTACTGATTGTCTCAGTTACCATGTCTTGAAAATTGTGGCCCCCTGTGTTGAAAATTATATCTCTAGGAGCTCAATTACAGGAAATCCTTGTATGGAGTAATTTTTCAAGATGGCAAATTAATGGTTAAAAATGAAGTATTTAACACAATTCTTAATCATTTTAACCTTAGACATTTCCATTATTTCAAAATTTCTATTAATATACACTGTACTAGTCACTTTTCCACCACTGGGATATATTATAACTTCTGACAGACCATGAGTCTACCTTGAATATTCCTGCCTTTGCATATGGTCCAAAACTTTCTTGCCTTTGGTTACAGTTCTCATTTTGCTTCTCATCTACAGAGCTATCCATTGGGTTACACTTTATTTTTCAGAATCCTTCCATCTCTTAGATCACAAGTAGCCCCTTGTGCTCTAAATTATATTTATACTTCATTGGTCTATATATACTTCTGCTAGTTAATACGTGTGTATCAATTAATGAATTATTATTTCAGTTATTTTAATACCTTTGTTTTATAGCTTCTATATCAGCTTTAAATGCGGTTTGCATATTATCTCCTCAGCAGTGCCTGTGTTCCAGGGTAAAAATAGTATGAGAAAAATCATATATCCACTAAAAATCTCTTTCCTTTGTATTGCACACAACAAAATGCCTTGCTTTAGGCATACTAGATAACTTTCAATTTGTACACAGCATGAGACTAATGCTTGCAAAAATTATTTACCACATATTTTCTTCTAAGTATTAAAACCTGATACAGGGTAGATGTGTTGTTTGGTTAAATTTATTATGATACTACCATCTCTGCCATTTCCATAACATAAAAATGGGTAATACCGTGACTCAGATTGTTATGAGGGAATTCAATTTATGTCATTCTTATTTTCTAGGGAATGTTACCTTTTGCTGTGGTAGGAAGCACAGATGAGGTGAAAGTGGGAAAAAGGATGGTCAGAGGCCGTCACTACCCTTGGGGAGTTTTGCAAGGTAAATATAAACCTAGCAGATTCTTGGATGATTAAGTCAGATACACAGTATATATCTATCATCTACAGTCTCAAAAGAGTATTTTAACTTCAGCCAGTATTGGCAACTCTTGTTAACCTGTAAATTAATAGTTACTAATGAGTAATAAAGGTTTTATTGCATTTAAGATCATGCTTTCTTTGACTTTGATCCAGCCTTAAGAAATTTACCAGACATTGCTTTAGACCAAAATTTGCAGAAGCCAAGTCAAGCCTTCCTTCCTTACCTCATGTGTCATATGATCTTATCTCTGTGCATGAACCATGACATGCAGAATGCTTTGAACAAAACCACAACATAAATACTAGTGTTTAAACGTGTTACCTAAACCACCATCTAATTTATAAAGCATTTTAAGTGGTCAGTAAAAAAAAACAATAAACTATTTTTCAAAACAAAGAAGTACAATTGACCTTTGGCTATATTATACCTTTGATATTTATATTAGTTACTTAACATGGCAAGTGATTTATTGTTTTGTTAATGTGCTGGTAATAAAAATTATTGAGAAATGGAATATTTCTATACATATTGGTTTCTAAATGTTGTTTTTTAAATTGAAGCACCAATAATCAAATGGGATCATATCAAATTAAAAAGCTTCAGGTCTGGGGATTTAGCTCAGTGGTTCTGACACCTGCCTTGTAAGCACAAAGACCCGAGTTCAATCCCAGTACCAAAATAAATAAATAAATAAATAAAGCTTCAGTACAGCAAGGAAAGCAACCAACAGAGTGAAGAGACAACCTATAGAATAGGGAAAAAATTTTACTAGCAATTCCTCAAAGGTACTAAAAAATAATAGACCCTCAAAATAAAAGACCCAATCAAAAAACAGGCAAGTGCAATAACAGATACTTCTCAGAAGAAATACAAGTGGCCAATAGATACATGAAAAAAATGCTCAGCGTCTTTGACCACTAGAAAAATGAAAATGAAAACAATACTGAGATTCCATCTTATTCCAGAAAAGAATGGCCATCATCAAGAAATCGAATAATAAATGCTGGTAAGGCTTCAGGGGAAAAGGAACCCTCCTACATTCTGGTGAGAGTGTAAATTTCTATGAGAATCAGTATGAAGATTCCTCAAAAGACTAAAATAGAAATTCTGTTTGACCCAGCTATACCCTTTCTAGATAGCTGCCAGAAAGAATTAAAGACATCATATTAGAGTGATTCATGTATACCCGTGTTTATAGCAGCACACTTCCAACAGCTAAATCTTGGAAGCAGCCTATATGTCCATCAACAGATAAAGGGATAAAAATGTGGTATTTATATATGATGGAGTACTGCTCTGCCACAGAGCGATAAACTTGTGTCACTTGTAGGCAAATGGATGCACCTTGAGCCATAATGTTAAGTGAAATAAGTCAGAACACTGGCTTAAATAGCACATGATTATTCTTACAAGAGAAACCTAAAATATAAATAAAGAACAAAATAAAAGATAGATAATAGGATATGAGACAAATCTTTCGCAAAAAGGAAGGGATCCAAGAGATGGAGTGAGGCAGGTGGGAGGAGAAGGGAAGGGAGGGAAATGAGAGAAGATTTAAGATGTGCTAAGTACACATTCTCACTCCCCACAAAGAATGCAATCATTGCAAACGTGTACTAATAAAAATACAGAAAAAATAAATAATTGACATATTTGAAAAATTTGAAATTATGAAGCATAGTTAAAAACTTAATGTTTTTGGTGTACACCTGTAATCCCACCACTCAGGAGGCTGAGGCAGGAGGATTGCCATGAGTTCGAGGCTAGCCTGGACTACAAAGGGAGACCCTGCCTCAAAAAAGCAAAACAAGAAAACCCTTATATTTTATATATTATATTGCATATATTATATATATACCTATATTATATATAAAATTTGGCTACAAAGTCAGCATACCATAGAGACATCTGTACACCCATGTTTATTGTTGCACAGTTCACAATAGACAAGATATAAAAGGAACCTGGGTTCCCGTCAGTGGATGTATGAATAAAGAAAATGTGTTATATGTATTCAGTGGATTATAGTTTAGCCATGAAAATAATGGAATCGTGTCATTTAAGAAAAATGGATATCAATCCCTGGTATCAAAAAAATTAAAAAAACAAAAAAAGAAAAAGAAAAAAAATGGATAGTAGGGCCGGGGATTTAGCACCTTCTTTGCAAGTGCAAAGTCCTGAGTTCGATCCCCAGTACCCACCCCCCAAAAATGGATAGAACCAGATGTGATGGCACATACCTGTAATCCCAGTAATTGGGAAGCTGAGGCAGGAGGGTCACCATGAGTTCAAGGCCAGCCTGAACTGCAGAGTGAGACCCTGTCTCAAAACAAAACAAAAAAACAAAACAGGAATAAAGGAGAGAAGAATGGATACAACCGGAGATTATCATGTTAAGTAACAAGTCTGACTCAGAAATATTGTATGTTTCCCTCATATGTGGACTCTAAGAAGAAAAAAAGAAATGACATGACAGTAGAAGGGAGACTATGAGATATGAGGACATAGATTGGTGAGTGACAGTGAGGAAAATAAGAAAGATTAATGTGGCAGAAATATAGTATGAAAATATTTAGAGGACACAATGAAGCTAATATTCAGTATAATTTATATGCACTAATAAAAAGGCAATAGATCTAAATAGATATTTCTGAAAAGAACCCACACACATGGCCAACAGGTAAATGAAAAGAATGCACAACACAATTATCCGGAAAATCCCAATCAAAACTTCAATGAGCTATTACTTCACCCCAGGAAGAATAAGTGTTAGCAAAAAAACTAAAGATGATAAGTACCGGTAAGGATTCAGAGAAAAGGGCACTTGTACACTTTTGGCGGAAATGTAAATTAGTACAGCAGTCATGGAAAATGGCATGAAGGTTCCTCAAAAAAAGAACTGCCAGCTGGGCGTGGTGGCACACAGCTTTAATCCCAGCACTCGGGAGGCTGAGGCAGGAGGATTGCTGTGAGTTTGAGACCAGCCTGGGCTACATAGTGAGTTCCAGGTCAGTTTCAACTACACAGTGAGACCCTGTCTCAAAAAAAAAGCCCCAAACCCCCCCAAAAACAAACAAAAAAAGAGAACTGCCAAATGAACCAGCAACCCACCACTTCGTACTATGCCTGAGGTGAAACAGGTCTCTGCCCTCCATATTCACTGCAGCACTACTGGCAATTTCCAAGCAACGGAACAACTGAAGGGTCCCTCAACTAGCTAATGAGTAAAGACAATGCATTACACATATATCATGAGATACCCTTTGGCCATAAAAATGGAATCCTTACATTTGTAATATCATGGGTGGAACTCCAGGTCATCAGGCCAAGTGTAATCATTCTGGGACAAATAATATACTGTGTGATTTCACTTAGACATGGAATCTAAAAATATTGATCTTGTAGAAGAGAAGACTGGTGGTCACCAGAGGCTGTGTTCATTTGGGATGATTTGGAAAGTTTGATCATTGAGTACTAATTTGCATTCAGTAGGAACAAAAGACCAATGTGTACTGCTGCAGAATATGGTGACTGTAGACAACAATAATGCACTGTACATTTGAAAAAGCTAGAAGAACAGATTTTGAAACTTTACACCATGAAGAAATGTTTCAAGATATAAATGTTTAATCTGATTTAAACATTGTACAGTATATACACATATCAAACATTGCATGCTACTTCATTGATATGGGCAAATTTTATAGTTTTATGTATCATTTCAAAATAAATTACATATAAAGTTAAATGAATGTATTAATTGCATATTAATTAATGCAGTCTCATAAATGTGGTGTATAAATGGAATTTGATCAAGGCACCTTCAAAATTTAAAGGTCTTTCTGTTAGAAGAATTTACATCAGTGAAATTATATTACATAGCCTATCAACTGTGAAATACTTTGAAAGTAATTTGTAAAATACTAATACAATTGTCTTTGAAAACCTATACTTAACAGAGTTTCTTATTTTGCTCTTTCTTTCTTTTTTTTTGTTGTAGTAGTTGTTTGTTTTTGTTTTTTGAGACAGGGTCTCATTATGTAATTCAGGCTGGCCTTGAACTCACTATGTAGCCCAGGCTGGCCTCGAACTCCGAGTGATCCCCCTGCCTCAGCATCCAAAGTGCCGGGATTATAGGCATGCACCACAATGCCCATCTATTTCGCTATTTTCTATTCATTCTTAGGTAAAAAATTTAAAGCAATTTCCTGACCATTAAACATGCCTATATTAATAATACAGTATAACTAATAATTCAAAGAACTACAGTTGTTACTCAGGTTGGTTTCTAGTTATTATTTTAAATGCATTTCATTCATGCATTTATTTCAGAATGCTTATTGATTGCCAACAATTGAAAGTGTTTTAGATTTATTATTTTTCTAACTAGTGGAAAATGAAAATCACTGCGACTTTGTTAAGCTCCGGGATATGCTTCTTTGTACCAATATGGAAGACCTGAAGGAACAAACCCACTTTCATCACTATGAATATTATAGGTACAGCAAACTGCAGAAATTGGGCTTTACTGATGTGGGCCCAGACAACCAGTCTGTTAGGTGAGTAAGGAAATTGCTATCACACCTAAACAGCTAATGTAGAGGGCTCCTAAAACCACAAGGTACAATAATTTGGCAATGAGAATAACTGTACTTCTTTCATTTTGGGCTATCCTGAATTATAGATTTTTAAAAATCATCTTCAGACTTAGATGTAAAAAGTAGAAGAGTAAAAATGAAAGGGCATATTTATGTCATATATTGAAATGTATATCCAAAAATATTATTTTACGTGTTTATGCAAAGCAGATGCTCAGGGATGAAACTGTCAAGTATTAGCAAAGACTGAGAAAAAGTCTCAGAAGATATTGTGAAGAGTTTGATGGAGGAAAGAATTGAAAATTCATAATACACTCTGCTGTGAGTCATGTGAAGAAACTTTGACAGCAGATGCTTTTAGATATATTGAAGAAGAATAGTATTTGTACCACAAAATTAGGTATATTACTAAAGTAGCATTATTCAGTTATATTGATTATGGTTTGTTGAAGACAACCACAATTAAGCCATGCAAGTGAATAATTAAATGATGCTTTATTTGAACTATTTTGAAAACACTGTCAGACCTTGGAAGTTTTCTCAAATTTTACTGTCAGAAGATGTGAAAAAGTATGTATAATATAAAGCAGAAGTACAAGACATCACTGATACAAGTGTTTTAAATTTCTAGTGTTTTTGTTTACATTTACTTTTATATTAATATTGTGTTATAATTTGTACATTCCATGATAATGAAATACATGTTTGCGTATGTCAGTATTTTGACATGAGAATGGAATGTTTTTTTTTTTAGTTTTCAAGAGCTATATGAAGCCAAAAGACTAGAATTCTATGATCAATGTCAGAGGGAGAAAGAAGAGTTGAAAAAGAAGTTTATGCAGCAAGTAAAGGATAGAGAAACAGCATTTAAAGATGCTGAAAAAGAGGCAAGTACCACCAGTTTGATGACAGTTTGTATTCTCTTTTAGGTGTCCCATTGGGAGTAATCTTGAAATTAGTTCATATTTTTAGATGAAGTTTGCTATTTTTATTAGGATTCTTCTTTTTTTTTTTTTTTTTGGTAGCAGTGATCAAACTCAGGACCTTGTGTTTACAAGGCAGGTGGCAGAACCACTGAGCTAAATCCCCAGCCCAAGTTTGCTATTTTTTAAAAGGTAGTAATTTACTATGCAAATATGAATGTGGCCTTTACAAACTTATACCTTGTAATTTTAGTTTTTCTAGAGCATTTTTTTCCAATTTTCTACTTAAATATTCCGCATCTCTGACATACTGGAGCAAGGGGCTGTACACATAAGGCTTTAGTCAGCACTTTCCCCATGGTTTTGCTGGACTCAGTTCACCAGCAGTTCTCACAAGTTGGGATCCTGGGTTTGCGCTGCATGCTGGGAACTCTACAGTTCTGCAATCTTGGACTTTGCCCCATGCCCATGGCTCTGCTAGGCATTGCCCTGTTGAGGACTCTTTGTAATGGCCTCAATTACAAAGCCCTGCTAATGGATACCCTCTACAGTGGCTACACTCCTGTGAGAAGTATCTACCTGGGTCCTCAGACCATTCATAATATTCTCTGAAATCTACATGGAGAATTCATAGCCCCACAGCTTTTACAATGTGCATGCCAGCAGAATTAGTACCACGGATGCTGCCAAGATTTATGACTTGTACTTTCCAAATCAACAGTTTGAGAAACAGTTGGGCTCACCTGAATAATGACTAGGGTTACAAAGAGGCCCTGAACTGTATTTCATGGAGCTGAGTCCTAGAGTGGGGAAGAACAGCAAATGCTGAGATCCCTAGAGAACTTCTCTCTGTCTCTCGCTCCAGAAAACTTGCCTTTGGTGTCCTAGCTTGCCTTGAATATCTCTGAGGTACCTTCAGGATCATTCTCTCATTGTCTTGATGAATGGATTCTGTCATCTTTCTACAGACATTAATTAATTTAGTAAATAGCTGTTTGGCCATATCAGCAGTCTCTCCCAAAAACATGCTTTGAAAAATTCTTGGCTAAATAAATACAATTATCAGTGAACCCATAGAAGAAACTAACAAAAAGGCAGAGAAGAGCTAAATAAAATGATCCAAAATAGCATGGGAAAAAAAGTAGTCCATAAAAATACTCCAAATGGAAAGTCAAGAGATTAATATGATAACAGTGTCAGAACTAGAAAAGACAGGGGCGTTGTTGGTGACCAATTAATGAAAGATACCTTAAAAACAAGAAAACATGAAAAATGAATCCAACAACTTCTAGATGATACAAAGAAGACTAATCTAAGACAAATTGGAATCAGTGAAAAATCAGAAGATAGCATAAATGGCATAAAAAACCTGTTTGTTGAAATAATAGAAAAAAAGAGTTTACAAATAAGGTAAAATAATATAACATATAGGTAAGTGAGGCATACACAGCTCCAAATAGCCACGACCTTTCCACAATACATCATAATCAAAATTCAGGAAGTTGGACACAAGAACAGAATCTTAACAGTGATTAGAGAAAAGCAATGAATCACTTATAAAGGAAAACCCATTAGAACTACAGCAGATTTATCAACACAAGGGCCAGGGATTTAGCGCAGTAGTTCTGCCACCTGCCTCATAAGCACAAGGTCCCAAGTTTGATCTCTAGTACCAAAAATAAAAAAAAAAAAGATGAAAGATTTATCAACACAAACCGTAAATGCCAGGAGAGCTTAGAGTGAAGTGTTTCAAGCCCTAAATGAAAAGAATTTTCAACCCAGGCTGACATATCCTTTCAAAATTGATGGCGAATTCATGACCACCAAACCAGAGCTCTGAAAATGTTCTCAAGGATACCCTTGAACAAGACATAGAACCCATCAATAACAAAAAGTCTAATAGACTTACTACGCTAGGTAGGGTGAGCAGATAAATAGAAGGTAAAGGGAGGGAATTAGCAACAGGAAAATATGCAATGACAGGAATAAGTCAATAACTATAAGTAATAACTCTCAATGTGAAAGGTCTTAGTTCCTCAGTCAAAATACACTGACTAGCAGGATGGATCCAGAACAAAATCCAGTGGTATGCTGTACAAAAGAAACACATTTAAAATTTTTTTTTAATTTTTAGTACCGGGGATCAAACTCAGGTCCTTGTGCTTACAAGGCAGGCAGTGGAACCACTGATATACATCCCCAGTCCAAAACCAATTTTTTTTGAGACAGGGTCTCATTGTATAGTTCAGGCTGGCCTTGGACTCACTATGTAGCCCAGGCTGGCCTTAAACTTGTGGTAATCCTCTGCCTCAGCCTCCCAAGGGCTGAGATTACAAGTGTGTGCCACCGAAGCTGGCTATGAAACATATTTAATCTAAAAAGAAACTCAGAGAATAAAAATCAACGTATAGAAAACAATATTCCATGCAATAAGGATGCCCCCAAAAGCAAGTATATAGCTTGTTTTTTGTTTTTTTGGGGTGTCAGGGATCGAACTCAGGACCTTGAGCTTGTGAGGGAGGCAGTGACACCACTGAGTTAAATCTCTAGCCTAAGCTAAATCCCTGGCCCCTTAGCTATCTTATATTCAGATAAAATGGATTTCAAACCAAAACTGATCAAAAGAGGCAAAGAAAGTCACAATGTTTTGGTTAAGAGAACAATCCAACAGGAAGAGATAACAATCATTAACATGTACACACACCAAACAATGGCACACCCAATTTCATTAAACAAGTACCACTGAACATAAAAGATCAGATAAACATAAACACAGTTACAGTGGGGGACCTCAATACTTCACTATCATGAAGAGTAGAGAGATAAACTAGACAAAATATCAAAAAGAAATATCAGAGTTAAAAAAAACCTTTAAACAAATAGACTTAATAGATATATACAGAGAGTTCCACCCAATAATAGAATACATATTCTTTTCAGAAGCATATTTCTCCAAAATAGACCACACACTAGCCAATAAATCAAGCTTAAGTAAATGTAAAAGAATGGAATTATACTTTGCAGATCATAGCACAATGAAGCTAGAAATAATGCCAAAAAAACCCACAGAAATTATGCAAATGTATGGAAACTAAACAATACATTTTTAACTAAATAGCTGGTTATGGAAGAAATAAGACAGTTTCTAGAATTAAATGATAATGTCAGTACAACATACCAGAATTTATGGGACAATGACAGCAATCCTAAGAGGAGAGTTTATATGTGTGAATGCCCACATCACAAAAGCAAAATGAATCCAGGGCCAAGGATTTAGCTCAGTGACACTGCACCTGCCTCAAAGTGCCAGGTCTTGAGATTCATCCCCAGTACTGGAAAAAAAAATCCAAAACAGAATTTAACATTGCACTCAAGGTCCTACAAAAAAAGAACAATCCAAACCCAAGACTAGTACAAGGATAGAAATCATAAAGATCAGAGCAGAAATCAGTGAAATTAAAACAAAAACATAAAATACAAAGATTTAATGAATCAAATAATCAGTTCTTCCAAAGAATAAACACAATAGATAGACCTATAGCCAATCTAGCCAAAAGAGAGAGAGAAAAGACCCAAACCAACACAATTAGAAATGAAAAAGGTGGGCTGGGGATTTAGCTCAGTGGTCCTTCACCTGCCTCACAAGCGCAAGGACCTAAGTTCAATCCCTGGTACCAAAAAGCAAAACCAAATGAAATGAAAAAGGTAAAATCACAATGGACACTGCTAAAATAAAAAACATTGTTAACAACTACTTCACAAATCCTGTACACCAGTAAATTGGAGAATTCAGAAGAAATAGACAGATTCCTAGATACTTATGAGTTACAAAAATTGATTTTTTTTGTACCAGCAATGGAACTCATGTCCTTGTGCTTGCAAAGCAGGCAGAGGAACCACTGAGCTAAATCCCCGGGCCTGAATGACCAAAATTGATCCAAGAAGATTTAAAGACCCTGAATAATCCAATAACATGCAATGAAGTTGAAGTGGAAATAAACAACCTACCAACTAAGAATAGCCCAGGTTCAGATGGATTCAATACTTAATTCTAATAAACTTCAGAGAAGTTCTAACACCAATACTCCTCAAGCCTTTTAATGAAACTGGAAGGAGTACTCCCAAAGCCATTCCTGGAAGCTAGCATTACCTTTACTCCAAAATCCAAAAAGGATCCAATAAAAAAGGTAACTATAGACCAATCTCTTTAATGAATATAGATGCAAAAATCCTCAACAAGATACTGAAAAACAGGATGCAAATAATCATCAAAAATATATTACATCATCCCAAGAATACAAGGATGGTTCAGTGTATGCTAATTGATAAATGTAATGCATCACATAAACAAAAGCAAGGACAAAGATCATATGATCTCAACAGATGAAGAAAAAACTTTGACAAAATCCAACATCCTTTCATAAAAATACTGAAAATGGGTATAGAAGGACCATATCTCAATCTGATGATTAATCACAAAACCTGCTGACAATATCAAATTAAATGGGAAAAATTGACATCTTTCTCTATAAATTTACTTTTTGGAGGTGGGGTATCGGGGATCAAACTTGGGTCCTTGCACTTACAAGGCAGGCAGTGGAACCACTGAGCTAAATCCCCAGCCCAACTTTCTCTCTAAAATCAGGAATAAGACAAGGATGTCCCCTGTCACCACTTCTGTTTAACATAATACTAGAAATATTAGTAAGAGAAATTAGGCAAGAAAAAAAATAGGGATAGAAAAAAGTCAAATTATCATTATTTGCAGATGACATGATTCTCCAGAGAGAAGATCCCCAAAAATTCACCAAAAAACTCTTAAAATTAATAACCAAATTCAGTAATGTAGCAGGATACAAAATCAACAGATTTCTGTACACTAATCATGAACCTCCTGAGAAAGAAACTAGTAAATACCATTCAAAATAACACCAAGAAAAATTAAGTACTTAGGAATTAACCAAGGAAGTGAAAGAGATGAGCCATAGAGAGTAGAATATGGGCCTTGTGTCATTACTCCTTCCATGGGAGTGGCGGCCCCTACTGGGTGACAGGGATTTCTCCGGGCTATATTGATATCAGCTGTCACTTGAATGGGACTCTCATATCGGCTGCTCCTGTAATGATGAGGAACCTGAAGCACTTGTGCCGGGAGAGGTTAGGGCTGGAATAACTGTTTTTATTCTGTGAAACTGAAACTCAATCTTATCACTAGCACGTTTTCAGTCATGGTATGCGTGTGACTGATCCAGTGGATTCCCATCAATGTGCTGGAAGGAAAAGTGCTGTTCCTTATTTCTCTCCTCTGCTACTGGGGATGTGCCTGTCCAGGAGCAGGACCTCAGGACCTTCCTCACTGTGCATGCCTGGAGATTCATGGAAGCTCTGTTGTAATGCTCATTAGGGATAAAACATGGGTGTACTGAGGCTGGATCTAGGTAAAATTCCTCTTTCCCGAGGTGCTTGCAGGAAGGAGAATGGAGAGAGCCATTCCTCAAATCTGCCCCAGCATGCTTCTGAGGGTTAGGACAGCAGTGAAAGATGAGTTCCTTTTCTGCTGTGCTAGTGAGAGGCCCTGTGCATGGCACTGGGAGAGGAGTGCTGGGAACTGCACGGGCAACAGCTCTTAACCCTGGCACCCATGTGAAACCACGTGCAACTGGCCACGTCCCTGATCTCAGAGGTCGGGCTCTTTGATCCCATAGTTTTTGTGGATGGCACCCTCTGTTCCCATTCACACAGCAACACCCACTCCCCACTAACAGCATTTTTAGCTTGTTTGTTTCACAGTCCTTCCATTGAGCCAAATCTGATTCAAGTGGGAGCCACCGGCTGAGCCAGTGCAGTGGAATGTCCGCTGGGTCCCCAAGATGGGAATATACAAGCTTTTCTATCTCTAAAGTCTCTAAATTTAGAAAATAGTTCCCTTCTCCAGGTGACTCCCAGCTACAGTGTGCTGGGGGACAGATGAAGTGAACTTCTATTCCAGTCAGACTACTACACATATTTCAGGCCTGTTTTCTATGTAGGTTACAAATCTACAAGGCCAGCACAACTTTCCAATAGGTAGGATTGTTGGTACCTGTGCCATAGGCTTTGCTGAGGCTCTCTTGCACTTTTAGCCCTGAAGAGGAGAAACTACCTCTTCCCCAACTGTGGAGCCGGGTTGGCAAGTAATGGGATGCTTTGCTTCTCTTGCTGTGCTGCTGTTCCAGGTCTCTGGAGTGTTACCAGGTCTCTATTACCCTCCTCTGCAAGTCTAGTGTTCTTCCACGTTCACTTACATCAGTGCGCAGCTACATTACTGTTGTGTATGTTCTTTGTGGAAAAGCAGGTGAATGCTGGCTACCCCTATTCAGCCACCTTGCCTGCCTCCCAATGTATGCATTTTAATGGTCATACATTTATCACACTTTGTCCTATGGGAAATTGTGGGGGAAATGCTGAATGAGAAAACCAGCCTCAGGGAAAAGGGAAATTTTATGAAAATCATGTTTTGTTCACAGCTGTGTACTTTACTATGTTTGGTTCAATGAGAACACATTCAATTTTCAAATCAAGAAAATTTCATATTTGAGTATTTGATTAGCAATTTTTAGTGTCTGATATTTAAAAAAGGGTGTTCTTTCATGTTTTCTGCCTCACTGTATTTTGGGCCATAACTACAGATTTTTTAATAGCTGCAGAACAAGTTTGAACATCTTAAAAGGATCCAACAAGAGGAGATTATGAAACTTGAAGAAGAGAAGAGACAACTGGAAGAAGAAATAATAGATTTTTGTAAAACAAAGGCTGCATGTGAAACACTGCAGACTCAGGCATGCACCAATATAAAGAAAGACAAAGATCGCAAGAAATAGTCTTTTCTTAGCCTTCTGTTGTAGAGCTCCACCATTCTATATCCCATCTACCTTTCTGCATAGCATTTAACTCTAATTAGAGTTCTGATTTTTAAAATTTGTTTACTGATTGTATATCTTTCTCAGCTAGAGTGTTAAATCCTTAGGAGAAATACCTTGCCTATCTTGTTCAATGCTGTAACATAGACTAGCACGGACATGGCACTCAGGCAATGTTTTATAAAATAAAAATGTGTAACAGTCTAACAAGTTAATGAAGTGGTAGAAATTCTTTTACCATCACCTTCTGCACCATTGCCATCACCAGAAGAGCATGCCATGGTTAACCTTGTGATTAACCTCCCAAGTTCAAGTGGAGGATCAGACAGGCCTAAGAAAGACCACCCTAGGCCCTGACCCAAACCCACACTTTTTTTGGGGGGGGAACCAGGGATTGAACTCGGGTCATTGTGCTTGCAAGGCAGGCCACTGAACCGCTGAGCTAAATCCCCGGCCCTCCAAACCCACACTTACATGAATCATCACAATTAATTCTTGTTTTTAGCTACAGAGTTTCAAGAAGAAATAAAAATGGCCAATAAATACGCAAAAATGGTCAGCATCTCCATTGAGAAATACAAATTAAAACAACATTGAGTTTCCATCTTACCCCAGAAAGAATAGCCATCATCAAGAACTCAATGACAAATGACAGCAAGGGGCCAGAGGAAAAAAAAACTAGTAGGTGGGAATGTAAACTGGTACACAAAATAAATATGGAAATCAGTTTGGAGATTGCTCAAAAAACTAAAAATAGAAATTCCACTAGACTTAGATATTCCCTTTCTAGGTGCCTTCCTAAACAAAGTTTAAGATATCACATTTCAATGATACATGCATACCTATGTTTATAGCAGCACAATTCATAATAACTAAATCTTGGAAGTGGCCTGTATGTCCATGAACAGACAAATGGATAAAGAAAACATAATATTTATACACAATAGAGTACTATTTTGCCATAAAATTTGAATCATTTGTAGGAAAATGGATGTACTTTGAGACTATTATGTTAAGTAAAATTAATCAGACACATAAGCTTAAATATTGCATGGTTTCTCTTATATGAGAGACTTAAGGTGTAAATAATTTAAAGAGAAAAATAAAAGATATTTTTATTTATAGATATTATGGAATGGGGAAGTAAATCCTCTGCAAAAGTGAAAGGGAACTGGAGATTAAGGGAGCAGAGGGGGATAAGGGAAAGTAAAAGTAATTAAGATACGTACACGTGCCAAAAACCCACAATGAATGTAATAATTATGTACAGCAAACTTGTACTAATAAACATTAAAAATAAAGCAATAGAGTTTTACTAAGATATTAAGATGCTCTTGGTTAAACTCACAAAAAGTATATTTAAAAACAAATGTTTGGGGGCCAGGGATTTAGCTCAGTGGTGCCGCTGCCTGCCTTGCAAGCGTAAAGTCCCAAGTTTGATCCCTGGTACCCCCCAAAAATATGTTTTCTGTTTTTCAAGATAATTTCTTGTGATTTCTCCTGTTAGGCTTTTGTTCCAAAGCTAATTAGAAAATGTAACTCCATGGTAACTGCATATATTAAGACATTTTATTTGGTATAATCCATTATTTTCCCCTCAAAGAGAACACTATATATCATTTTTACCTTTACTGCTCCTTTCATTTTGATTAAAACATTACACAATTTAATGCAATCACAGAGCCAGTTTGTTTAGATGAATATTGATGAGACTTTACAAATCATGTGGTTGTTTTTACATTTGTATCAAATACACTGAACAGAGCTAAGTATATAATGGATACTCCTTAATTAGGAGAAAAATATTCATATTAGAATGACTTCATTCCTTCAGAGAATGAAGAATCTAAGGTGAAGAACTATTAATTCTGTATGTGGGATGATGAAATCTATTCCAAGGCTGCACACATGGTACTCTCGGAATTTAAAAAGGAATAATTTTTTATTTTCTAATTATCTCCATTCTAAGTATCTCTAATTTAGCTACACATGCATCAAACTATTCTCCTTCATTACCTGTGTGATGGTTCTTCATTTCTCACTTGTTTTCTCTGTCATCTCACACTGAAATTTTTCAGTTCTGTGAGTAATTTAGAATTTTTCTGCTGCAAGGATAAAGTAGTTTGTATGGGTTTCTGCATTCACTGACATACAGAAATTGTAATATGGAGGGTACAGTATGAAATTTTAATGCATATCTGTATTAGTCAAATCATTCTAAGTAGCAGAACTATCACTTGAAACATGTCTTGTGGTAAAAACATCCAAAATCTGTTTCACTTGTAATATACAATACATTATTATTAGGTGTGATCTCCCTATTATGTAATGGAACACCAGAGCTCATATTTTCTGACTGTAATTATCACTCCTTACTTTTCCATTCTACTCTCTACTTCTGTGAGATCAACTTTTATTTTAGACTTCACATGAGAGTATGTACACGGGTATTTTATTGTATGCCTAACTTATTTCACTTAACATTAAGTTCTGTAACTCCATCCATATTCCTTCAAGTTACAGATTTTTTATGACTACCATTCCTTGTAGGTATGTGTCCCCCTTTCTTTATCCATTCATTTGTTGAGGGGTACTCATATGGGTTCCATATATTGCCTATTGTAAATCGCATTGCAACAAATATGGGAATGCAGACATCTCTATTCAGAGCGTGCATTTCATTTATTTAGGGTACAGAGACAATTTGCATATTACTGAGTGATATGAAAAGTCTATTTTAGAGTCAGTAAGAAACAAGAAATAATTAGGAAAAGAAAAAATTCATAGAGTGCCATGTTTGCAGCCTTGGAACAGGGATCTCTCTCCACGTCAAATTAATATCCTTTCTTTCATTCCAGATGCTTCATTCTCTTACATGAATCAAAGTGTCATGAGGAAACCCCACATTTTTCAGGAATAGCTCTCTAAATCTGTGAGCCAAAATAAACTTTTCTTCTTTTTAAGTTAATTATCTCAGGTATTTTGTCACAGTGACGCAAATCTGACTGTTACAGCTTCTATCTGACTCCAAGTCTTTTGCTTACTCCGTGGTGTAAAAGCCCCTTATGGTGGTTTTAAGCAAATGTCACATCTCTGCCTCTTGTCTTGAACTCAGTGCTATTAGACTTTCTCTACTGAAGACTGTACCTTCAAGAGAACCACCCTTGAGAGTGACCCGTGACTTTACACACTAATGAAGATGTGAACCACTGACACTGGACCCTTTCTTGTGGGGAGAAGGATAGAGCAGGGTTCCCAAGAGCTGGGACAAGAACTAATGATGCTTACGGATTAGGACAGCAGGGCACTAACCACTCTGGGCCTGCAGTTTTGCCAAGCTGAGAGCTGCATAAACAGGTAGAGGAGGAAGAAGTCAGACAAGTCCATTCCTCCCCAAGGCTCTATGCATACAGGCTTCCGAGGAGCAGTAAAAGAAAAGGTTTAATTCAAACCACCCATTATAACTACTGTTTAGCTTTTATTTTCTTCCCAAATGGTTTAGTGCAAGTAAACACAGCCCAGAGGTTCTTTTATCTTCCTGAACATTCACCTTTAGCTAATAAAGGCAAAGAAAAAACTCTAGAAAAGATACTTCATGAGATGTGTGTGTGTTTCAATAGTAATTTCAGTCCGATTTTTTTCAAGTCTCCTGGAATCAATTCAACTGCAGGAAGATGGGTAGGCAGGAAAAAAGTAATTGAAGTGCATATTAGAACAACTTGTCAAATTAGCAAAGTTTTTAACATCACCAACATACTTAATAAAATATAAAGAGGCTAAATGGCACCTGATGTGGAAAAATCCTAAATGCTGTTGTTTGGGTTTGTCACTAAAAGTTTACACGCTGTGTGGAGCCTTGGTCTTCAGTGTGGCAGTGAGGTGGGTGATCCTTTAAAATATGGGACCCAGCAGGCGAGGGATAATGGGGTCACTGGAAGTGATGCCACTTAAGGGATTAATACTGATCACTAACTTAATTTCTTTCTGTGTGGGTTGTTATAAGGCAGGCTTATGCTACATGTGTGGCCCCTGCTATATAGGGCTGCTTTCCACCTTACTTCTTCAATGTATTGTGAAACAAATCAACGGGGCTGTTGGCAAGGGCCAAAATGATGAAGCCACCTTATCTTAGTCTTTTAGCCTCCAAAACTGTGCAAATTAAAGCTCTTTTCTGTATAAACTCTGCAGCCTATTTTGCCATACCAAAAGAAAATCAACTGTGCTAATTTGTCGCAATATTTATTAATAGTATATGAATTACCTCCCCTAACTCTAGATCCCAATAAGGAAAATTTCAAACATGAAATACTCTTATGTAGAAACCAAGTACTACTGAGGAGTCTGTTCCATGATCTGTAGGCCGGGTAGCTGCATTCGAGGCCTCTTCTCATAAATTCGAGGCCTCTTCCCAACTCCCATTATGCTTTTTAAAAAAATGCTTCTAGAAACAGTGAAATGTACCCTGCCTGGCAATATAAGCATTCATATTTCACTGGGATGTAATGAAATAGTCTCTATTTAATATTTGTATTTTAAAGCCTAGATCTCTATTAGATCAATTTGGCATTTTTCCCTTCACTGCAAATTCTGATGCATTAAAAATACATATTTTATTAAAAGCCTTCACAAATTGAGGATATAAACTTATTTTATTCTCACTCTTCACTGGTATCATTGCCTGATAAAGGCATTCCCAAATTTGTTCCATTTGTTGTATCTCCACATTTTAAAAAAATTCTTCCAAAAACTGACTTGGGGATGAAAGATGACAACACCGATTTTTCTTCTGTATACATTTTCTGATAAAAGAACTGGTAGCACAATGCAAACAGATCACAAATGCAAAAAAATGGAACAGCAGAATCTGTACTTACTTTTCCTTCTCTTTAAAAAAAAGGGCGGGGGGGATACAGGGATACCCTGGAAAGATCTTTGTTCTCTTCATTTGTCTTAACCCACAGCAACCTTTTCTTATCTCTCAGGGTTATCCCGAGAGCCACCTGCGCTTCAGTGCTAGACATGAGAAATTATATAGAGAACTGCACAGTCACTATCTTTGTGTTGCCAGGCCTGGACATAATGCTTGTCACTGTCCATATTCTCCAAGCAGAGCTCAGTTAACTAGTGATGGTCACAGTGAGTTAAAGCTAGAAATGAAGGCTGCATTCCAAAGACAATAAAGTAGTTTGGGGAGTAGGTATAACTAGTCTCTGCAAAGAATATTTTGCCATTATGCATGAGAAGTTATTTCTGAGAAAGTTATTTCAGATTCAAAGGTACCTCCCATGTGAGTTTTTAATGCCTGCTGACTTATGACATCTGTCAAAAGGGTTTTCCTCTTCAAATACATTCACAGGGCTTCTCCCAAGTATCTCATGTGCAATGAGCTGTAACTTTTGCTCAAAGTTCTCTCTACATTCATTCATATGGTTTCTACCCCATGTAATTTTTCTTGTATATAGTGGGGCCTAATGGAAGAAACCTCTCCTGTACTGTTGGTGTTCATACGGTTTCTGCCCTTTGTGGGAACTCTGATGGACTGTGAGGCTTGACTTCTGCCCGAAAGTTTTTCCACATTCATTACACTCAAAGGGTTTCTCTCCAGTGTGAGTTCTCTGATGCCTACTGAGGTTTGACTTCTGGGAAAAGGTGATTCCACACTGGTTACATTCATAGGGTCTTTTCCCAGTATGGATTATCTCATGTTTACTGAGATAGGATTTCTGGCCAAAGGTTTTTCCACAATCATTACATTCATAGGGCTTCTCCCCAGTGTGCGTTCTCTGATGCTTCCTAATGTAGGACTTCTGGCAAAAGGTTTTACCACATTCATTACATTCATAGGGCTTCTCACCAGTGTGAGTCCGCTCATGTATAGTGAGCGCTGGCTTATGGTAGAAACTTCTCCTACATTCTTTGCATTCATATGGTTTTTCCCCTGTGTGAATACATTGATGCGTTCTGAGGTTTGACTTCTGGCCAAATGCTTTTCCACATTCATTACATTCATAGGGTTTCTCTCCTGTGTGAGTTCTCAGGTGACTGGTAAGGTTTGACTTCTGGTGAAATGTCTTTCCACACTCATTACATTCATAGGGCTTCTTCCCAGTGTGAATTACCTCATGGATAGTGAGAGTTGACTTCCGGCTAAAGGTTTTTCCACATTTATTGCATGCATATGGCTTTTCCCCTGTATGAATTCTCTCATGGACAATAAGGTCTGATTTGTAGCTGAAGGATTTCTCACACTGGTTACATGCATAGGGTTTTTCCCCTGAATGTTTCTTCTGATGTATTATAAGGTCTAATTTAGTAATGAAGGTTTTCTCACATTCAAGACAATCACAAGATTTCTCCCGCGTGTGTGTCTGATACTTAGTGAGATTACATTTTTTATAAAGAGTTTTCCTTCCTGTCTTAACAATGAGAGCTGACTTCTCACAGGCTTTCCCAGGTTCATCATGCTCCCAGCAGGCCTGCCCCATAGAAACTCTCTTATGTGTAATACATTCTTTCAGTAATTTTGCCTCCCTGGTGAAGGCTTTCCATTGTCCATTATATTGAAAATCTTGCTGCCCAGCTGGAATCTTGGGTTGCTGACCAAAATGCTCAGGACATTTCAGGGACTTGCCAGTTATATGACACTGATTAGGTTTCTCTCCAGCATCCACCTCACCAGGCTCACTGAGGAGATGTGTGTTCTGACAAACATTATGTTCTTCAGGTTTTAATCCTGAATAGCTTCCATCATTTATAATCAAATCTGAAATATGGCTAGAGCTTAAATCAAAAGTATTTCTTAATTCAACTTGCTCCTCAGTTGTGTTCTTGGTGGTGATTACAACTTGCCACACATGTCTATCTCCACTTTGGTTGCTGGTCTCAATTATGTCATCCATTTTCTGGCCATCTAAAACAAGAAAAATAACAATATACATCAATAATATCTAAGCATTTTCTATGGAATGCTCATGTTAAAGGAGATTCTCCCTATCTTACTGGGATAAGGTTTTATAAAATTATAATGGTTTAGGGTTTATAAGTATATAGTTTTCCTTCCTACATAATGTAACAGATTACACTGACAGGTTTTTTTTCTTTTCTTTTTCTTTTTCTTTTTTTTTTGTACCAGGGATCAAACTCAGGACCTTGTACTTGTGAGGCAGGCATGGGCCACTGAGCTAAATTCACAGCTGACTGATAGATTTTCTAGTGTTAAATTGCTTTTCTTTGTTTTTTAACTTTTCTTTCATGTGGAAATATTTGGTTAAAATATTTGCCTATTGCCTTGTCATAGTGTTCCATTGAATGTTTATCCCATCAGTTGTTTTGTTTTTCTCTTTTGTTATATTGTTTTTTGAGACAGTCTTGCTATGTAATTCAAGCTGACTTAGAACTCATGGCAATTCTCTTGCCTCAGCCTCCCAAGAGCCAGGACTACAGGTCCATGCCACCACACCTGGCTCCCTATTCTTCTTCTGTAATCTTCTTTATAATAATGGTGGTTGTCTCTTATTGGTACTATTCTCATTACTTGGATTACAAGCAGGTAAGAATTTCCAGAATAAGTTATTTTCCAGGATATATGTGAGATCCAAATAACTGGCATGTACACCACAACATGGCTTTATTAGAAATAGAGTTTTGCAACTGTATTTCTTTAGTTTTTACTTTTCCCTGGGAGAATAATGATGCACATCTGGGAATTTTTTTCAAAGTATAAAATCTCTTCTCCACTCCAGGCAAAGACCACTTTCTCCAAACTCCTAATTTATCCTGACTTCCCCAATTCTCAGCACCGAAACAAGTATAGCAAGCCTCAGCTTACCAAACACACCTTTGGTGTCCTCCAACATTATAAAGTGTTTATCTAACTCCTCTGAGGTCAGCAGCCCTGGCATTCTCCCCTGAATTCCTGGTACATGCCCCCATGCTTAATAATCCACTGTTTCTGAAGAATACTAGTAGTCTTGTGCACTGGAATGACAGCTGTCTTGCCATATGACAGAAAATGGAGTCATCCATATATTATGCATTCTCTTTATTCTTTTAGGATGATATCCACAAATAAAAGAGAAACAACATTTCAAGCTCCATCATCAGCATCAAACATTTGGAGAACATGTCCTTGGGATCAAGAATCTTCTGGGACCTGCAGAAGTCCACGACCAATCCTTTCCATGGTTGTATGGTGGATCCATCTCAGTTTCGAGAGTTCTGACATTGGGATTCACAGAGCTAACTCCTTTTACATTTTTGTATTAACTCTGTAGTAAAATTTCTCTATAATTTCAAACACCAGATTTAACCCACCTACAAACACCCAAGTGTTTGTAGCTCCAAGAGTGATATGCACCCTCTCACCTAGAATTTATATTTTCATATGTAGTGCATGTAAAATTTTGAAGAGTAACTAAAACTGAAGGTATGCAGAAATAAACACTGAATAATCTCATTAAGATCCAGGTCTGGAGATGTGTGTACTCCCAGCTACCCAGAAGCTGAAACATGAGCATCACAGTTTAAGGGCTATCTGTACAACATGGCAAGAACCTGTATGAAATTTTTTAAAAAATACAATGAAAAGGGGTGGGGCTATAGCTCAGGCCTCCCTGGGTTCAATTCATAGTACTGCCAAAAAACAAAAACAAAAACAAAACTTCCACAAAAACAGAGCTCAGTCTTGGGAGAATGTTTTTATAGTATGCACAAGGGGTTGGGTTCAAACTTCAGCACTTCAAAATTAAACAAAACAGGGCCAGGGATTTATCTCAGTGGTTCCGCTGCCTACCTCGTAAGTGCAAGGACCTGAGTTCCATCCCCAGTATCAAAAAAAAAAAAAAAAGGAACAAAACAAAACAAAAATCTGTCTAAGACTGTCTCCTCTAATCATCTTTACTAAACAGTCACATCTCATGTTTCTCTCTTTCACTCTGGTTAAATATTCTTCTAATTAGCATTACTTTCCTGTTTCTGTCTCATCAGAATATAAATTCTGTGAAAAAGAGACCTTATTTTGATCATAACTATTACAAGCACAGTGATAAAACCTGCTGCATTAGGGTATACTAAATGATAAATGAATTATGAATAACTGACACAAATCACTCCAAAGAATGGAGGATAAAAAGCAACTGACAATATTGAGAAAGTAGACACCACGCTTGATCTTAGCCAAAAGATTGAGAAGCGATGAGAAAGTAGACAACAAATAAAAATATCTAAGAGAGAGGAAGGTAGGGATTAGATATAGGATAAATACAAGAATATATTTACAAATTAAAACTGGGAATATTTATGCAAACACCTTCCTTGAAAACTATGTAACACACATGTCTGATGGATGCAGACCAGCTATCCTCAGGCCTGGGACCTGGGGAAAAGTGATCAACAGCTGAACAGAGCCAACATCTGCTCAGGTCCCCTCTTCTCAGCCTCCTAGTCCAGAATGCACTTACCTGGGGGGCTCAGATTTGGGGGTTCTTCTCCCATCCATGGCTCTGCTCCTTGCTCCAGCTTAAAGATCACCTCAGGTTTTGTGATGCAATGCCCTGTTAATGGGAAAAATGCATTTAATAACTGCTCTGTAAGTTTCTTCACAGAATGAAAACAGCCCAGCTTCAAGCATTGGTAAATAAAGTTGCCAAGGTGAACCCTATATTACAGAAAGGGAAAAATCACATTCTTTATAAATTAGAAGCCTATACCCAAGAGCACTGAATCTTACTAGTGTTCACATACTTATCAAAAAGGAAAAGCTTGCTCCTGACAGTGACAGGGATTTCACTTACCCAGCAACACTAGGCTGCGGTAGGTCTCCAGCATCACGTCCTTGTATAGGGTCCTCTGAGCATCGTCCAGGTCCTGCCACTCCTCACAGGTGAAGTCTACAACCACATCCTCAAATGACACCAACATCTGTAACAGAACATTTCTTACTCATCACCTCTGGTCACAACAACAAGAACATGAAGTTCCAGCATCAGCAGGAGTGGAGGTCGGTGTTTGTATGCATTTTATAACATATGCAGCTTGCTTTGTATGCCATATTGTGGGAGAAAGGAAAGTCACAGAACTACTGTGCATTGTAATTATTTAATTACTAAAAATACTATTACAAAGTTTACCTTATAAATCTAAAACCATGTCAGGGCCAGGGATTTAGTTCAGTGGCACTGTACCTGCCTCGTAAGTGCAAGGTCCTGAGTTTGATCCCTGGTGTCAGAAAATAAAATATCCAAAAACATCGTTTTTTGTTGGGAATTAAAATATGAATAAAATTTGCTCCTTCAAGGAGCTTATGATCTGGTATGAAGAAGAAATAAGTACGACTGCATGCTCACAATTATTTGTTATACTTCAATGCAAATGAAGCAATGAAGGAGAAACCATAGTTGTGCGTATTTCAAGCTTGCTCTTCACTGAAAAACCAAAATGTTAAGCTCTTTCCTCTGTGAACCAGGGATTCTCCTGACCACAGGGCAACAGCATCAGTCTGGTCACGAGCACAGAGTCAGCACAGCCACGTTAATGGAATAACCACAGTATCGTGTCTAGGGCAGTGAACCTGGTCTGTGATGACAGATAAACACAACACGGAGGAACTCATGCAGTGTGTGGTCCTGCATTTCTACTTGAATATATTCCAACAGAAAACAAAGGTTAGGCATCCGCTGATTTTTAATAAATGAGTTAAAACCACGCACATGGCACCGCACTCTCCTTCCTATGTGCCAAAAGAGTCTGAGTTTACTCCAGGGGAGCACTGCCACTCCCCAAATGGCAGGGCGTGAATAATAAGGTCCTGGAAGAACGGACAGGTTAACTGAGCAGGTCTGCATTTCAACAGTAGCTCCTAGAAGGGAAACCGGAAAGGCTTATGGGAGAATCAGCGGAGAAGGAACCAGAGGAGACACGATGACCTCCGCCAGGATACGGAGGAGTAAAACTGCACCACAGCCAAGTAATCCTACAACAGACATATTGAGAAGGCAAAGCAAGGACAGAACCTGCTACTAACTTGCTGAGCAGAGGATAAAAAGGACCTTTTCCTTCCAGCTACCTGCATGATGGTTGCTAGTTACATAGTGGGATCATAAAGTAACGTTTGGAAAACAGAAGATGATTATGATCGCCAAGTGACACAGACTTGAGCACCATAACTGGAGAAGCTCAGATTTCAAATGTGGGATGTCTAACTGCCAATTCTATACATATATATGTATATATGGATTTATATAGACAATTCCAGAATTAAGGAGAGAGGCAAGCTGAAGATTTAAAAAAATGTATAAGGTAACAGAATTTTAGTGCTGCTTGAAGTCATCAGAATGAATGAAATGACCTGAAGAGAAACTAAGAGACTGAAGAAAAGTAAAAAGAATCTGAAGAAACTAGAACTTAATGATAGAGGACAAGAACTACATTACAGAGATCAAGAAGGAATTTCCTGAGTTTATCCCACAATTAAAGGAAAGTTCAATATAAGAATTCTACAAACATAGTCAATTGTATTCTTAATTCAATGGAGAAAAATTCTAATTGTTCACAAGGACACTGATATTTTAAAAATACTATCCTACCATTTGTGGTGGTGTATTCCTATAATCCCAGCACTGGGGAAGCTGAGGCAGAAGCATCGCCCTGAGGTTGAGGCTACCTTGAGCTACATAGTAAATTCAAAGCCAGTCTGAACTACATAATAAGACTAGACCTTGTCTCAAAAAACAAAACAACAACAACAAAACACCATCTTAGTATCCAGTTCTTCAGGTAAAGATCTTAAAAGTTGTCTCAGTTTGGCTATGGAATGTCCCCCAGTGGCCCTTGTGGTAAGCAGATTTGTCCAACCTGCCACCTGTGGGCCACATGTGTCCCTGGACAGCTAGTATGGTAGCCCCACTTGGTAAACTTAACATTTTATCACATGTTTATAGTAACTTTTATGATTTGATTGTGCTGTGCTCAAAAATAGACCACAAAGGAGATAGACCACACAGGAGACAACAGAACACTGTGCAGGGGAGTACACAGTGCACTGCTAACTCCGCCTCCTGCACCTGCCACACAGTCACTGGAATTAAAACCTGTGCCCTTGTGTATCAGCTGCTATATACATTGTGCAATGCAGCAAGTGAAACAGAGCAATTACCAATAGTAGTCTTCAAACACCTTCACCCCTGTGGACCTGTACTGATAGGAATTTATTGTTATTAAGCACATATGGAAGCTTTCTTATTTAATTATTAAACCCAGGCTTGTTATTCCTTGAAATAACTTTATGTTGTTTTTTTTTTTTTTCCTGGTACTGGAGATCGAACTCGGGTCCTTGCACTTGTAAAGCAGGTACCAGAACTACTGAGCTAAATCTCCATCCAAAATAATGTTACTTTTCAAACCACCATGGTATATGAAGTACAGAATGTACCAAATAGTTTTTTGTTTATAATATGGTTATAAGCATATATGCAGTATCACCAATACCAAAAAAATGCATGGTGATTATGTATTACTTTTTTAATATCCTAACATTGCTTCAAGACCATCTCAAAAGAAAACAGGACACCCCAAAAAAGACAAACATGAAGAAAGAGTGTTCATTGAAAAACAGATGTATTTTCATGTTGAACAAATAAGATACTATGCTTTACTTGCAAGGAAACTGCATCAGTTTCAAAGATTTCAACATGAAAAGATATTATATGTATAGATAGATATGCTGCCAAGTTTGATGCAAAGCAAGGACCATTTCACAAAGACAAAATAGAAGAATTGAAAAGAGTCTACAACAAAGTTTTTTTAAAGTTACAACTGTAATCCCAGCACTCTGAGAGGCTGAGATAGAAGGATTACAAATTCAAGACCAGCCTAGGAAACTTAAGAGATTTACTAGGAATGTCTCAAAATAAGAAATAATTTTTACAAATCTGGGGATGTAACTCAGTGTGAAGGCCCTAGGTGCTATCCCCAATATAGCACAAAAAAAGAAAGAAAAGAAAAGAAGGAAAGAAGAAACAAAAGGAACAGGTATGTCCCTTGCTGGTGAAGGCTTTCCACCATGAGCAAGACCCTGAGTTCAGTCCCCAGTATGGGGAGAGGGAAACCTACATACAGAATCACGACATGAAAAGGTGAAAATTGTGAAAATTTGTACTTCAATTTATTTCATGCATATTTTTTATTAGCCCTCATTTCAAATGTGTCCTATTAATACACCACATGCACTATATATATATATATATATATTTTTTTTTTTTTTTAGCACTATTCTCAGGGGACTGAACCTCATTACTGGGCAAAAACATAATTCAGGTTCTGCAGGAATTAACACTTCCAAAGTTACCGCATTGATTTATAAGCATAATCAGCTCCCCTCCTATTGTATGCAAATATTTGAATAAAATAAAAGAATGTTTAAAAGATGCAGAAGATCACACCAGGAAAGATCAGAACTGAGGGAGAAGTCAGGGGAAAAAAATCTCATTTTTCAGGTTAGAGCACTGCCAAGTAGGTGAAGGAAGTTGTACTTCACCTTTTGGATTTGTTGAGCTAGAGGTACCTTGCGAATAAAGAGATGATCCAACAGGGAGCTAAGAACTAAGACTTAAAGTTCCAGTCTACAAAAATAAAAAAAAAAAATAATTAATTTTTTAAAAAAGTATTGGGGGGTGGGTTGGCTCAGTGGTTCTGCTGCCTACCTCGAAAGCACAAGGGCCTGAGTTGATCCCTGGTACCAAAAGAAAAAAGTTCTGGTCTAAGGGTGAGGAAACAAGTCCAAACTGGAGAGAACAGTGCAAACACTGGAGAGCTAAATCTACCAAGAAGGAATGCAGAGTGCAACGAATGGGATCCAAGATGTGAAGAACTTGGATAAGAAGAAAAAGCAAAAGAATTCAAGGCAACAGAAAACATCCCAAGAAAGGATGTGACAGTAACCAAGAAAGAACTCCCAGAAGCAGATCATGGACAGTAGTTAAAAATACGGCCATCAACTTTGGACTTAATTAAAATGCATGTTATTGATGAGCGTATGAAAACTGAACTAAGACAATACTTAGTGTGTTAAAGTGCAAATGAGCAGTGCGAACATCTGCTGGGAGACATCACTCTGACCAGTCTGCCGCAGGCACTGCATGTGAACACGGGCTGGGACACAGGTACTGACAGTCACTGAATGACTCATGGTCAACTCAATCTGAGCTTTCATCCATGAATTGACTACCATCTTGCAAAGGTTGCCTGGAAACACAGTATTTTAGCAACTCCAGAAAAACTTGATTATGAGTTTTATTTAGGACTAGGTAACTTTTTATACTGAGGAGTGCTAGAAGTGTTTATTTCTAAGGTGGTAGTGAAAAACGTTCTACTACATCCTCTATGTGACCAGTGAAGATAGTGTTTTAGCCCCTGGTGTAAACAATTACAGGCCATGACAGGTCACCATGTTCTCTTCTCAAGTTCCATCTGTTTTTGGTGGGGTTTTTTTGGTTTTTGTTTGTTTGTTTGTTTTTGAGACAGGGTCTCACTATGTAGTTGAGACTGACTTGGAATTCACTATGTAGCCCAGGCTGGTCTCGAATTCACAGCGATCCTCCTGCCTCAGCCTCCCAAGTGCTGGGATTACAGGCATGCGCCACCACGCCCAGCTCTCAGGTTCCATCTGAATAAAAAAATCAAACATGTCAGCTTTTTCTCATGTTAGAAACACCAGAACTAAACTGTACTCAACACAGAGTTCAATACAACCCTCACATGCTGAAAAGTAGACACCCATGCTCTAAATTCTTGATTTTGTTAAATCTCTATTCTCAAACTAAAATAGAGGAAATACTGAAGATAAAATTTAAACCAGTCTTGTCTTGTTCAGCAAAAAAATAAGATCCAAATGATACAAGGAAGCTGCTTGGGTGCTGGCAACCACTCTATCATGATTGGCCTATAGTTTTTGTGAACCAATATAAAAATTCATGGTAGTGTATATATTATTGTATGTCTTAATAAAAAAGAAAAAAATTTAAAACACAGATATCTTTTAAGTCTTTATGTGCTAATTCTGTCTTATTTACATCCATTTCCATAAAGCTGAATTTTTACTGATTCTACAATGTCATTTCAATTAATGGACCTCAGAGAGCTGGTAAAAACACAATGCCAAACAGAGAGAATAAAACAACTCACCTGAGGTTTATTCATTTTTTGTTGCTCTTTGAAACATATAGAGGACTCTGGAGGCATAGCTGAGAGAAGTCAAATGTAGGAAAGGAATTGCATGAGAGAACAGGCTGGTGTGGACTTAGATTACCTCCTCAAAAATACTCCATGTATTAGCTGGAAAAGATAAACAAATAAACTCTGTAGGAGTACAGTCCCTTGCACAAGAAAGGGTGACAAAAGCCAGGCTAGGTGGCACAGATCTGTACTCCCACCTATGTGAAAAGTAGAAGCAAGAATATCACAAGTTCAAGACCAGGCTGCGCTATATAGAGAAACACCCTGAACTACACAGACCTTGTCCCAAACCCTAACCCAAGGACAAGGACCTGGGCTGTGCCACTGACTGGATTTGGCCAAAAGATGTCACTGAATGTGATACAAACCTAAGCTTGAAAAGCTTGAGCCAATTGTCTCACTGGGGCTTGTCTTCCTGGACACAGGGAGATTGTGGAAAAGCCTGGGGCTAGTGCACTCCAGACATAGGAGCCTCCCTAAGAGCAAGCACAGACACCTGAGAATGTAAAGTCATCTGGAACCAGGGGACCTCAGTCAAGGCCCCAGGGGACTGAAGGCTCTGTGACCCCAGGCGTCACCAGTTTAGGGATCTCCCAGGTTACTCCAATTTACACATTTATCCAGAGGAAAGTGATCAAATGAAATGGTTTCTTCTCTTAAACCAACAAAATATTGTTGATTTATTATACAGCAAAGGCTGTTAGCTCAAAGGACTTAGAAGTCAGTGTTTTTACATTTGACAAAGTAGGGGGAAAGTCTCCAAACACAAATACAATTTTTAAAAAAACTTTGAAAGTGTTGGGATGAAAAAACAATAAACTGGGCGGTGATTTAGTTCAATAGTTCCACAGCCTGCCTCTTGCAAGCACAAGGTCCTGAGTTCTATCCCCAGTACCCAAACAAACAATAAACACCCAAAGGATGAACTACAGTATGGCTGAAGCCTAATGATTCAAACAAAGCACTGTCTGGAGATGAGAGGGATAAGGCTTTTACACCATAAAAATAGGCTGCTACTTATACATGAACCTTGAATTGTTCTTACATTTTATTGGTTTGAAGCTCAAGTGTGATGCAGTCTAATTTTTCCTTTTTCAAATAATGTAAAATAGGCTGCTACTCTTTTCCTGCAGAATTTATGATGTTTAGGAACAGATTACTGACATTGAGAAATGTGTGATTCACCCTTTCAGGTTACATAATGAAGAGAAAATATTGAGAATAATAAGGAATAGGCATGTTTGGGACAAGTATTTTATTTTATTTATTTACTTCTTAATTTTTTGGTACTGGGGATCGAACTCAGGACCTTGTGCTTGTGAGGCAGGTGTGGAGCCACTAAGCTAAATCTCTGGCCCTGGGACAAGTATTTTAAAGCAAAATTCTAGGGCTGGGGAATGTAACAGCTGGCACAACACTTGCCTATCAGGTGTTACACTCAGGGTCTGACCCAAAGCACTTCAAAACACAATAACAGCCAAGTGTGGTGGTGCACACTTGTAATCCCAGCATTTGAGAGACTGAGGCAAGAGGATTGCTGTGAGTTGGACACCAGCCTAGGATACAAAGTGAGTTTAAGGCCAGCCTGAACTAAATAGTGAAACCCTGTCTCAAAAGACCAAAACAAAACAAACACTGGCCAAATCTGAACACAATGTTCCTGTCAAACTGCCTTAAGTGCCATCCGAATGATCTCAAAACTAAGCAAAACCCTTCTTTTAAATGTGCAAAATGGATAACATTAGCCAAAAGTCAAGATGCACCTGACATCTACTTATCTGGTGACCCTAGACAAGTCACTTATCTATGTGACATCAACTTTTGTTCATCTTTCTTACAAAGCAGAAATACTTTGGCCAATCCTTCCTGAACTAGTAGAGATAACAGGACAAAGTGATCATCAGATGTCAAATCTGTTGACAGTCTAAATTTCAGAGAATTTACACTCTGGAAAGAATGGGTATTTAGAGAACACAGAAGATGGTATTCTCAGGCCCACAGGGGATCCTTCCACAGCACAACTTCAAGACCTCTCCTGTAAGAAAGATTCCCCAGGTCCTTGCCTATCTTTCTCAGCCCAGTTTACATCTTCCTCCAGAAAGTCAGTCCGACCCCTCCAGCAGCACCCAGTTGCTGTTTCTGGAGAAAGTAGTAGTCACCCATATGTTCTTTCATCTAGACAACAGGATCAGTAATTGCTTAATCTAGGCAAAGCTAGGAGCTTCGCCTCTCTGAGACACTGTGCCTCTTCTCTGAAATGCTACTGAGAGTGGTCAGGCCACAGTGTTCTCTTCAGGTGGAATTCCAAATTTTGGAACACCTACATTTTTCTAAAGAAAATGGGCCTATTATCCAGCACCCCAATCTTCCTTGCAGACTGGTAACATTTTTCTGAAAACTTAAACAAGGATGTAAAGTGCAGTAAGTGACCAGAAACTTCGCTTGCTGAAGAGATACCACGATGCCCACAAACACAACTGCCACATAGAAAGACTCGGTCCGCACACATCATCCTCATTTCTCTTGGAATCGGAGGGCATTCCACTAGGACAGTTAATGCTCTTATCTTACAGCTGGATAAACTGATGTCACCCTGGTAACAACAAGCTCCCACCGCGCGCACACGCCTAGCTAGCTCCCCTCGGGTCCGTTGACCGCCCCGCCCCACGTCACCACTCGACCACCTCCTTCGCAGCTTCTAGAGCTGGAGCCACACGCCCGGCTTCAGACACCTGACATAGCAGTTGGTAAAGCACAGGCGAGTCGCCCTCCAGCCTGGGACTCTCAGACCCGGCCCTCAAATCGCCTCCCAGACCCGCCCAGGTCCTGCCGCCCAGCCCCCCCGCCCCGCCCGTGTTAGCGCTACCGCCTTGGCGGGGATACCTCTCCGGCTCCCCAGGATCAAGGCTGTTCTTTTGCCCTCTTACAATCCTTCGCGGACACAGAACGCAACTCCACTGACAGAGTAACTATTGCGAGGGACAGAGCCAGGAACTTCCGGGAGAAAATGATGTACAGGCGGGGCTACGCGTGCGTAAAGGAAAACCGGCAAGTTATTTCCGGTTCTCCAGAGACATTGTTGGGGGTTTAGATTTCCCACCACCTTCTGCGCGGTCCTGCCGGAACAAAGGATTGTGGAGTTTTTTTGAGGAGGCGACAAGGAACTGATGGTTTAAGACTGGCCCCTAACTGTTGGGGAGCCATTGTTATTTTACTAATTACTTCCTTAAAGGACATAATGAAGCTGAATGATGGGTCTGTTGTCTAACATTAACTTTTCACCGTGCATAAACCTTAGATGTTCTAACCATCTGATAGGTTTTGAAGAACACCATTTCTTCCCCAACCAAGTGCAGACTTATATACTTTATCCTGACCCCCTTGACTACTAACCCCATTTAATATTTACACACATTACTTTTGCCTGGAGGGATTGTTTCCAGCAACACTGGACTCCATCAAAGAGTGGCAGTCTTCAAACACCTGGCTATCTTTACATCTGAGAGGTTATGAACCCCAGGACCACCATGACCTGATCAAAGTTTTCTTTGGATGACATTCCCAAACTCCTCCTCACGTTGAAAGCAAATGCAAAGTTCTCTGCTACTTCATAGCTTAGGCTGCTCACCAGCTGCTCATCAACAAACTCTTTTAACTTTTTTTTTCTGTATTATTGCAGTTTATTCACACCAGAGAAACGATTCGGTATTTACACATGTGTGCCTTATTTATTTCACTTAGGAGTATATCTTTAGTATGTATCCATTTTCCTATGAATGAATCTATTTTCTCGTTCTTTATGGCTGAGTAATATTCCATTTTATAGAAAAACCACATCTTTATCCAGTTTCCAAATGATGAACAAACTCTTAACACACACACACACACACACACACACACACACACACCTACACACACCTAAGGTAGTTGCCTTCCATAGGCTGCCTCCCCATTAGCAGTAAACATAATATGTGGGATGAGATTGTTCTTTTCAATATTTGGATCTACTTAGGACTTACCATCTTAGCCAAACACTCTATCACCAAGGAATATCCAAGCTTTAAAAAAAACCGATAGATTGGGGCCAAGGGTTTAGCTCAGTGACACTGTGCCTGCCTCGCAAGCACAAGGTCCTGAGTTTAATCCCCAGTACTGTGGGGAAAAAAGAATTAAAAAATCGATTGATTGATCGATTGACAGGACCTTGACAAATTGCCTCAAACTTGGAATACTCTTGCTTCTTGGAATGCTCCCGAGTAGCTGGGATTACAGGCAAACCTCACCATACCTCGATGGAATTCTGCTCAACAAATTATGTTTAGAAAACCCAGCACATTTTGGTGTGAATAGTTTTTTTAGTTTATTTAAAATTATTGTGGTTATAAATTCCACCTCCAGATTGCAGAACACCTGCATTCTACAGCATAAAAAATAATGTCTCTGAGTGACTTTAAATGTTCTACAAACAAGAAGTCCATATGCTAACTCTCTTCAAATCCATTTAATCTAGATCAAATCCATTTAGATCTGGAAGGGGAAGGGGGTGGCACAGAATTTGTAATCCCAGCTACTGCAGAGGCTGAGCAGGAGGGTAGCAAACTGAGACCAGCCTGGGCAACTTCTCACAACCCTGTCTCAAAAAGTAAAGAATAAAAAGAGCTGGGGATGGATCTCAGTGACACAGCTCTTGCCAGCATGTGCCAGGCCCATTGTTCAATCCCCAGTAACAGAAAGAAAAAGAAAAAGAAAAAAATGTTTGTTCACAGTGGATGTGAGGGGACTTTACTAACCGACTGGAAACACTGCTGGTGTATATACAAAAATAAAACAGCAAGATCATAAGGAGGTGCGCTCCGTAATCTCTGTGTCAAGTCACACCCCAGCGTCTGGTATTTGCTCAGACTCCCCATTCCATTCATCCTTCTACACAAAACCTTCGGTGGGGGTCTTTGTTTTATTCTTTTGTTGTTGTTCTGTGAGATAAATCTTAAGCTTTTCTTCCTTGGCTTCTGACACGGACTTTTTTTTCTTATTTGGGTATATTCAGATTTTCTTTTTTTATTAATACATATTTGGAAAAGATAATGATTACATTAATCATGGAGGGGGCTTGTACATGCACATAACACATCTTAATTCTTTTTTCATCCCCCTCTTCCATCCATCCTTGCTCCCTCCAGCTCTTGTTCCCCTTCCCACTTGAAAAAGTCCTGCCTACTTTCTATTATCTTTTATTTTGTTCCTTATATATATTTTGGGTTTCTCATATAAGAGAAATCATGCGATATGTACATTTGTGTGTCTGATTTATTTCACTTAGCATTATGGTCTTGAGGTGCATCGATTTGTCTACAAATGACTCAAGGTTAGCTTTCTTTATTTCTACCTCAGACTTAAGAAATTAGTTCTCAGGAGTTCTCAGAGCAACAGCTACCTCTGCTGTTTTTATTCAGGGGAGCCCCTACTTCCATCATCTAAGTTGATAGGGGCTTGAGTGTAGGAGAGACAGTGGGTGAAGCGAGTGAAGCTCTGAGGTGGGTTGTCATTGTGAGTGGCCTGCCTCAAAAAACAAACAAAAAGTGCTGTGAACTGAACTGTGCTTTTCTCAAAAACAACAAAAAATAGAATATAATTCCACTGAAGCCAAAAATAGTTAAATACTTTCTGGCTTTGACATAAATATATTTAAACAATGTAGCAAATTTTAGTATATCTACTTTTCAATTTCTCAATATTATTTTAACTACCTACACACTAAGACAAATGAAACATTGAGACATAACTAAGAGTAAGCTATAAGTCCTGCGTTGTCTTTCCCCTCAAGCTCCTTCCCCTCTCTGGGGGGGTCTTACCAGTTTCATCTCAGCAGTTTTGTCTCTCAGAACAGGAATTTCTCCAAGAAAATTAACCAAAAACTGTAAAAATAAATACTTTGGAATGCTATAATGACACATCATACCCAGGAAAAGAATAAATCTATTCAGCAGCATGTCCCTGAAACACTCCTTTTATGTTCCCAAGACTCTTGCCAAGTCAAAATGGCATTCTAAGCAGACAGGGACAGGGAAGTCTGTTCAGCGTTATCTGGAGGAAAAAAAAAAAAAAAAAGAGGGAAGGAAAAAAATGTTATCTGGAGAATGCTGGGAACTGGGCAAACTAGTGTTATCTGTAAGAGCTGCCTTCCTGCGTGTATGCCAAGTGAGCCATTCCTTGGAATGTTGGTTATACAATGTAACAAGTCTTAGTGATGTCACTGCCTTGTTGACCAATCTATAGAATCTGTAAACCCTTCCCCTCAATAACCTGCAGTGGAGCTGCTGCTGAGTGCTTTTTCTATCTGGTCACCACTAAGGCTCCTGGTGGGCACTGTTGGCTGGTACAACAGCTTGTGGATTTTGGCTGGGCAGGGATGTTTGATTTGTATGCCTCTCCCATGGGATTTGGCCTGGCAGGGCTGTTGACCTATACACCCCTCCCTTGGGATTTGGCCAGGAACTAGCATTGGAGCCGTAAGTATGTGGACTCTCCCTTGTTAGTGAGTCATAATTAACACTGTTGGTGCCCATTAGCCCTGTTAAAACTTATCTCTCAAAAATTCATCTCTGGGTATATTCTTTAGTGCCTTGAAAACCTATTCCACAGCCCTAGCACACCTGAGTTCTGAATGATACAACTGGTGCACCAGACAAGAGGCCAGAGAAACTCCCATAAATGCTGAGATGATGATTAAAAGGGGGATAAAAACTGAAGGAAGGGCCAGGATGTAGCTCAGTGGTTCCGCCACCTGCCTCACAAGCACAGGTCCCAAGTTCGATCCCAGGTACCAAAAAAAAAAACAAAACCTGAAGGAAGACATCCTGGGATGGTCATCCACCTTCATAGGGGGAGGGGTTGCAGGTATTATGGATGTTTGGGGAGCGCTGCATGAGTATGGGGGTGCTCTGACAATGCTCCTGAAGTTAAGATTATTGTTCGTCAGTGAGCAATAAGATTTAAAGGAAAGGATCTGTTTAAGACTGCAGTGGCCATGCCATGGCACTTGCCCATGGCACCAGTAGCAGAGACTGAGCCTTACCAACTTAGTACAGGAGAACTGGGTTAACCTGTTAAAAAGTGCCAGTGTGTTAGTTACTTTTCCCTTGTTGCTGAGACAAAACACCTGACACCCAAAGTTTTCAGTCCCTATTCGGCTGGCTCCTAGGCAGGGATGGCAAACAGACATCATAGAGGAGAAACAACACGGTGTGCACAAGGGAGCAAATGAAACAAGGGGTAAGCTTTACCCAGTCTTTCTGCCCCTTTTATCCCATCCAGACTGCCAGGGTTAGGGCAGTGCCAAACCACTCACCTGTAGTGGTTTAGTAACCACGTGGTGTTAACCCAGCAGCACACATTCCAGATTCAGCTAGCTCTGACCGAATGAGGCTTTGTGGGGGACATCTAGGCCCAATCCTAACACTTAGAGTGGGTGCCACCAGGAAGACGGAAATGGAGGAAAAATATCCAGGTCACCAAGCTAAATGAATCAAAGTGCCAGTTCCTCAAAAGAATAAACAAAATAGTCAAACCTTTAGTCCAACTTTCCAAAAGAAGGAAAGAAAGACCTGAATCAAAGAATGCAATAAGAAATGAAAAACGTGAAATCACAAGGAACACCACCAAATTCCAGCAGACTACTAATAATGCTATGGATGAGCGAGTTCGAGCAATAGAGATGCGACCCTCTCCTTGCCAGATTCAAGCTCTTCCTTATAGCCAGCAGCCAAGGGTGGCTAGCTCCCAGAAGTTTCCTCAGCAGTGGAAAGCAGTTTGATTTCTCCTTTTAAATCATGCTTTCAGTTGGGGAGAGTTCTGGGGAGAGCAAGCCGGATCTTACAGGAGCAGGACCATGCCAGGTTCGTAGGGGGCACAAGGAAGTTTCACACACACTAGGTGAGCTACAAAACATCCAGCAACTGCAGCAAGTTTACTGCCAAGCAGGAGGTGGGGGTTTGGGGTGCTTTGTTCAGGTGCAAGCACTTTGTTCTAACGCAGGTACCAGCTGGCATCGAGGCGCAAGACGGTCTCGGGCTGGCTGTTACAGTAACTATGGTGAGAACTTGTACTCCAACAATTTGAAGAATCTGAAAGAAAGGGACAGAGTCCTAGACACATGTGAATTACTAAAACTGAACCAAGAAGATAGAAAAGCCCTGAAACATCGAATAGCAGGCAACGAAACTGAAGCAGGAATATATATATATATTTTTTAAATTCTCAACTTGACTTTCGGAAAAGCACATCCGCCCCCCTGCCCGCCCGCGGGTTTCCAGACGTGCGGGAAGGATCCTCGTGGGACTGGTGGCGCCGGCTGCTTGTCATGACGGGTGGGGAAGCAGATGCAGAGTACCGAAGCCCGTGAGCTTCCGGAGACGCCGCAGAACACGCTGGATTGGGCTGGGCAGGAGTTAAGGATATTGATGTTTTACCGTTGCTACTTACGACAGCCAGCTTTATTTTTGGCACCAGGGATCGAACTCGGGTCCTTACGCTTGCGCAGCAGGCGACGGAACCACTGAGCTAAATTCCTGGCCCCAGGAAACCTGGCTTTTACAAGACGA